TTATGTACCTGCTCCATGCCATGAACGCCAGTAGCACAAGTGTAAGAGAGCCACCGAGACACAGAGGGTTCGATCAAGTCAAGCTAAAACATCTGCAGCCAGGGGCAGAGAGCAACAAGCGGGCGTCTCTTCCTCACAGGGCCGGTCATTGCCGTGCCGACGCAGAAGCACGACTTCCACGCTCGCTGTCCACATCACGGGAGAGAAGCGGAACCCCAGGCAAGTGAGTCACCGAACCGCCGTTCGCCGGAGAGCCCCGTCTCACCTGCGTGGAACGGTATCATGACCGGGGCGGAGCTGTTGCTCGTTACGGGGACCGGGTTCCCACGCTACCCTGGAGACACAAAGAAGACAGCGAGGAAACGTGCACGAGTATGAGAAAGGCTCGAGCATCATCGACAAGTCCCGTGAGCCACTTTCATCACCGCCTTGCTGTCTGTGTCCTGGCCTGCTGTGGAGAACCATCAGCAACTCTGAAACATGCCTGCACGAGCTCTGAACAAGGATGACAAGCGTGCGAGCTAAATCGACGGCGGTGAATCGAAGTCGACGGATCTTGATGGAGACTCGACGGCCAACTCTTCCAATCACGAACTCTGCAGATATTAAATCACGACGCGGAAGATTATGAGAAGCTTCTTTCCCCGACCAAGAATGACGGACATTTCCAAACAGATGCCGCGCGTGTCATGGATAGCTGCTGCCCGTGTCAAGCAAACGCACGACGCTTGTCGTACGAGCGCCAATGTCTCGCGAGGAGCGAGTCGGTGTAGTTGAGCGCCGAGAGGGAGGAGAAAGCCGGCAAGCAGCGCACTTCCGATGGTACATACTACATCCACACATGGACGCATGTGACAACGGAAGCAGATCTTCCTGGCATACGAGCACAGACTGGCATACTATCAATGTTTCACCCGCCGTCTTTCAGTCGACGCGGTCCTACGAATCACAAGCAAACGGAAGCCTGTTTGCATGGGGACCATGCTCCGGGGGGGAGGGCACGAAGCGCACTCGATGTCTTTGAAAGAACAGAAGCGAGCGCTATTGAGCACGGCCTGCGAGCACTTGACTGCGAGCAAATCCTAGCAATCCTGAGGCTCCAATCCTGGCTTGGCCCAGTCTCGCTCACAGGAGGCTGCATGCTTCTGCTGCAGGCATGCAACGGGAAGCTGGGGTTAGATCGCAACCAGGCCAGCCTGTGGACGCCCGGTTATGCCCCCCTACCACGACGAAGAATGTGTCGACGGCTTTGTCTGATCCCATGGGGTTGACATGGGGAGGGGGATGAATTAGCCCTGCGTCTCTCTCACCCGACAGCGTCGAGATTGAGAGCCTCCATGACCCTGCCGCCTGTCTTTGGCCTTTTCGTTTGCCTGCACGCTCCGCAGAGACATCCGCGCGCATACGGAACGCATACATGTACTAGTATGTATGGAGGCAGCTTAGCATTTACGCCTGTATCCATAGGAACGACATGCTCCGTCCGAGCGCATGAATGGCATGAGCGTGTATTACTAGCAGCAAAGCCAGGCGGTTTTCTTCTGTCTTCTGCCGGAGAGGGTTCGGTACTCTTACGAAGGACGACTGCTGATCTTGGTATCGCCGGCACAACCGTCCGCTCCCGCCGTTGCCGGTGACTTTTCTTTTCTTTTCTTTTTTTTGTTTTTTCCCCCCTTGAAGACGTCTTGTGTTTACTGTATGATTCCACTTCCTGCTTGGAGTCTCCGGCATCACCCGCGCATTGAGCGCAGGCTTAGAGCCGATTACACTGGCGGTGAAGAGCTTCCCAAGCCCTTTTCAGCTCCGGGTGTGGTTCCCGAGTCTGGCGGGAGCTTACCTCTGTATGAGCCGCGGAAGGAGGACCAAGAGTTGAGAAATTTTAGTATGTGACCGGCTCTGGCGTTTTAGGTAGGGCAGGGATATTTTTCTCATATTTTTTCTTCATTTTTTTTTTCTTTTTCTTTTGTTCGATAGTCGCCGCGAGGCGAAAGGGTAAGTGCTTCATCGGCGATACCAGGGAGTAAACCCGCCCTCACCTCACCTGGACACATGCAACAACTCCTTTGGTAGTGATTAGCCGGACAGCCCGCAAATCGAGAAGAGCACAAGACTGGCATCTTTATCTATTTATGGCAAAAGGGAAGGCGATGCTGCCGGCTCACCTGAAACTGCTCGACGGGATGGACGGGCTTCTTCTTCTGGACGGAAGCAAAGGGGGGAAAGGGGAGGGGCTTTACATAGTGGCGAGATGTATTATTTCGTCGAATGAGAGAGAGAGAGAGAGAGTTTGAGGTGGAGGAGAGGCTGATGGTCCCTTGTTGATGATTTGACGATGGATGACGATGGATGGGCTTACATGTGCATTCCCTTCCTCTCCGGCGACTGGGGCGAGTTGCAGCAACTGGGGATCACCGAGGGCATGCAGCAGCGGCTTTTGGGATCTCCACTCTGTTGGTCGAGGACTGCTTCGAGGTGGATTTGACATTAGTAGTATGGGTGTTGATGCTTGATATGTTGTATGATGCCATGATGCTAATGCAATGGCTAGGGTTTGATGCCCTTTCCCTGACAGGGTACTCGACTCACGACAAGCTCTCAAACATGAACAACAGCCAGCAGAAGAGGTACAGTATCAGTGTGCGTATCCTCATGCGTAGTCCCCGGCTGAGGTTGACAAGAAACCAAGTGGTGTGCCAATGCTCGAGCCGACAGCTCCAGGGATCACAGTCCATTGAATGCACGTCCGCGAATAGCTCCATGTACGATGGCACACTTTTTTTTCTGTTTCTGTTTTTTTCCCCCTTCATGTGAGGAGACCAGACCGGCGGCTTACAGTACTAGTAGTCGGGTATGCAGTGACTGGGGGGTTGGGTTAAGAGACGGAGGACCTTCCTCTCCTCCTGTTAGAATCGCCACTTTGGGAGTGTGGTGGACTTTGGACGGAGTGCCTCCCTCCCTCCCTCTCCCCCCGCGGCCTTGCAGGGCCAAGCTGCATGCCGATGTATGAACCCTGTCTTTTTTTCGTTTTCCTCTGTCTGTCTCTCTCTCTCTCTCTCCATGTGTGTGTGTGTGTGTGTCTGTGAAATTCAGCCTGTGCGATGTCTGTATGGGGTATGGAGGAGTCTGGGCTGAGCTGGGCTGGGCTGGTAGTGTGATTTCTGGGTGAGGATGATAGGATGAGAGTCAATGGATGGGCGCATGAGACGCGGATCAAGGCTACTATGGGAGGTCATTCACTGGATCATCACGGCCGTATCATGTTTTTGAACCACATGGGAAAAAAAAAGAAGGGTCTTTTCTCTCTCTCCCGTGTATGTATGGATGGATATCCGGGGGGGGGGGGAGGGGCGATTCAGATTGGTCTTTTTTTTTTTTTTTTCTCTCTTCTGCTCCCTCTGTTTTGCCACTGTGATCGGCCTGTGGGCGAGGTATAAATGGAAGCGATTGGTTGGTTGAAGGTACATGTACTGTGGCAGCAGATGCAAGGTAAGGGCTCTTTCTGCATGGCTAGGTCTGTTTTGGAATGGGGGGTTGATTGATGGTCTGGATGACTTGAGTCAGTATTGTTGAGGGTATGCGAGAGAGAAGTCATGTATTGCAGGTTTGAGGACTTGGTCTGTCATGTTGGTTCTGAGATGTGAGTTTTTCTGTGAGAAAGGGGACTCAGGGGTAATAGCATTGGGTGAACCTGAGAGTGTAGAACGGGAGCAGGAATAGACGGAGAAAGAGGGTAGTAGTAGAAAGATTGACTGTGTTAAGAAAGGTGTTTTTGACGGAAAGGGGGCCATGATGAGAGACGATGTATTATGTCGTGTCATGTTCATGTCGCAGTAATTGGAGTTGATGATGCATTGTCTACACATACCACTAGATGCTTCTTTATCTACAACAAGAAGAAGCATGATTCAGATCAGAGGAGGAAGATAATCGTGATATCGGGTAATTTGCGAAGGAATAAAGGGCGTGATGACTCCAAATCATTTCCAGGATAGATATCTTGCAAACTCTGCCTTTCAACTCGCCCGATATATGATATGAACTCCTCCACGAGCTTCAAATCAAGAACCGGTTGGCCAACTGTAAAAGCCTGTGTTTCAAGGCTTTCTTGACTGTGATGAAGGCATCCACTCAAAGCCCGTTGAATGTCGACTTTACCTCTCAAGATACCAACGTCCTCACAGACGAAAATCGTGATCCTTCGTCGAAGACATGTAACAGTCAATGTTCTGGCTCTGTCTCCCTGTGTCTCATATACGTGAACCGTCAACAGGACCGCCTTTCAAGTCTCTTTCCACAAAGTCCGGCCAAAGAAGCTGCCAAGAAGGTCAGAGAACAAAAGACTTCAGGCTCTGCAGAAGATTATCATCCATCTCTTCAAGCCCTACCGGTGCTCGTGCCTTCTGTTATACATCAAGATTCATTTGCTCAGAAAGAAATATCCCTTTGAAAAGGCATAAGAAGGACATGGCTTTCTCTTATGCTTCCAGGAAAACTTGGCTGGGAGTCACCCACAATGACACCTCCTCAGCAGGCGATCTCACATGTTATATGTGCCTTTCCCAAAGATCTCTGTATCCCTCCAGAGGGAGGAGAAAACTGGAAACATTACATGTCAGCGGTCTGGGGAAATGGCCTCATTAGAATGGATAGCACTTCATCATAGCATCGAAGAGCAAACTCAAATCTCAAGATATTGTCCAATGCCGGTATTAACCAAGTTGCCTACGGATCAAGTCAATTGACTTTTCTGTAAGGTTACAATATAAACTCCAACCGGTCGCGACTGCGATGCCGCTGTCACAATAGATGCTTGATATCATTTGCAATATGCGGACTGTTTATTTCAACGCTCATGTGCCATCATTGTGTGACTGTATGCATCAAGGGACACAAAGCCTTCTTTTCTATGCTCTTCCCATCACGACACCTGTACCCCAAATCAAAACAGCAAACCCATTCCTCTTCAGAATCGCAAGCCGTGTATGTCTCAAGGCCACGCTCTACTGAGTAACGCCTGCAAGCTGAATCAACCGCTCACCAGCTCGAATGCTGGCATACTCGTAGACCTTGGACTCGGGCGGGAACGTCCCGTTGGCCGCCCAGAGATCAATCAGCGGCTGCATGGGCTCCAGCTCCTGCTTGCCCAGCATGTCGAGCGCCGTGGCCGTGAGCAAAAAGTGGGAGAAGCAGCTGTTGAGCTGCTTCTCCAGGTTGAGGTGGTAGTAGGGCTCGACAAAGTGCGCCCAGTAGAGGTGGGCGTAGACGCGGAACATCTGACGGAAGATCATCTGGCAGATGTCGATGAACTTTTCGGGGAAGCCCGACCGCTTGCCGACCCAGTCGGGCTCGCCCGGGTTGGTGAGCTGGGAGAGGGGCGTCGACGAGATGGCGGGATTGTGGGAGTAGGAGACGCCGGCGGGGTCTGTTGGGAAGATGGCGGTGTCGTCGATTTTGCCGGTGATCCATCGCTGCATGAGCGTCATGTACTCGTGAGCCGGCAGCTCAACTGGCTCACGACGGCTGTTAAGCCATGTAAAGGAGTGGTTGCTGTGGGCTGGTGTGTGAGCAAGACGAAACCGCCGGTGAGAAGGAGAACTGGTGTTACTTACGCTCCTGCGGACATTCGAGGGCAAGTTGTGGGATTGCATATGGTGTTGCCAGTCTCCTCCTTTGCGTGGACAACCTGGACAAAGTTCCAGAGGTTGCGATAATGCTCGACAACTAGGGCATGTTGGTCAACATGGGTTGATGATGAGCGAAAGCCTTGTTCAAGCAGACCAACCTTGATGAGCAATCCACTCTCCCTGCTCAACCGTCTTTGGCCGAGCACTGAGCGTCATGAAGTTTCCCTTGACAATGTGCTTTGCGCAGTTGGAGTTGAGCCACAGCGGAAGCGGCCGCGGCAGGTGGTAGGAGTTGATGATATCATCGCCGCTTGGTCCAGCGCCGGAATCAGCCATGCTGGCGGGCTGAGCAGGAGAAGTTGGGATGGGAAAGGAGGCAGATCTCGGAGGCGCGGCGCCTGGAGGTGACTTTGGAGATGAGATGGCGTCCGAGGCAGACTGCGGCAAGGGGGGCTGGGCGTATTGTGATGGGGATGGGCTTTTGGGCCCGCCTCGGAGACGAGCGTTGCTGAGAGAGTGTTAGTGGAAGGGTAATAGAGACGCTGAAATCACAAGATAAAGCCACGAGAGTCGTGATGTCTTGTTAGGCGATGGTACCTAGTTGGTATGAGTGGTGAGAGCAGCGGGGTGAAGATGAGGTTGAAGATGGAGGTGAAGATGAAGATTGAGATGAGATGGAAGAGACAGCACGGGGTTGCCCGAGCGGTTTAGCGGGTCAAGCGAGGCTTAGGCTGGGGATGGGTGCCGAAGCATGCAGGGAAGCAAAGGCCTGCCTTTTATGAGTGGTGGTAGTAGTGGTAGTGGTAGAAGTGGTAGATGTGGTAGAAGTAGTAGTAGTAGTAGTAGTAGTGGAAGTAGTTGTTGTTGTTGCTGTTGTTGTTGTAGGGGCAAAGGCGAGGAGGCGGGAGGATAGGGGTAACGAAAGAGGAAATGGGCATGGATCAGTAGTATCAAGGGTGGGGATGGCTGCGTTTTGTAAACGTATATAAGAGGCTCCCTGGACGTGGCGATTCCGGGTCTACCAGATTGATAATAATACATAGCAGCTGTCGTGATATTGCCATCGATTGCCACTTGGCCGCGAATGGGACTGAGAGCTGTTTGTTTGTTTGTTTGTTTGTATATTCCCTCTTTTCAATGGCCCAGACGATGAAGATGACGATGATGGGCTAACAAATAGATATCTGTTGGAGGTGTCCATACCTACCTAGATATCGATAGTGCCCAAAAGTGGCCCCTGGAGCCTCTTTGTCTGGGGCAGTCGCAGCCCGACTATCTCAAAGCCATTGAGCGGATCTGAAGAGAGAGTAAAAGAGAGGGCAGGTGATGATAATGATTTCCACAGAAACAATTCACCGAAGAACTTGAGGAGATGATCTAATGCCACGGATGGTGAAGAAGTTCCGACATCTTTGACGTCCTGGACGCTGGACGCTGGAGGCTGGAGAAACACTTGCCCCTCACCGCTGGGAGACGGGCGCCGTTTCAGGACCCTCCCTTTCGCCTCACAGGGGCCTGATTAGGAGCATTGAATAAGATGAGGAATTGCAGCAACTTTGCTGTGATGCCGTGATTTTCATCAATGAGGAAAAGAATCAAGAAGCAGGAAGAGCACACATAAAACAATGGAAAGGAACATGTGCAAATAATGACAACCAGAAACTGCCACTTACATGCCGGAAAACAGGTTGGACATGGTAAGAAAAGGCGGGGGTGCAAAAGCGGCGGGATGCAGCGAAACTGAGGGGACCGCAGACGGGGCTTCCAGCCTTGTCACGGGATCGTAGAGCAGCGAGAGAGAGAGAGAGAGAGAGAGAGGAGAAAAAAAAATAGGGGTGCAGATGTGCAGACAGGGCTGATGGACAAGGGGAGTGGAGGGGGGCCTGCGATGCGATTGGGTGGATGGGCGATGTAGTGAGTTGTCTCTGCTGTTGTTTTTTGGTGACGAGATATCGAGGTGCTTTTTGGAAGAAGTTAAGAGTTGGTTGTAGGCAGTATGTATAGAGAGAGTACAGTTTAACAAGACAGACGCTCGGGACAAGTGAGCTGTTTTAAGACGGCCGGTTGTTGGTCCCCGAGAATGCTGGACTAGTAGTGGTAGTAGTAGTAGACTTTTAAGGTACGAGGAAAAGGGTCATCAGGAACGCAGATGGACGGGCGCCACACAAAAAGCATAACTGTGTTTGCGCTGGTTATTGGTTGAAACTGGTTCACACTGGTTGAAGCTGGTTGAAGCTGGTTGGAACTTGGTTGAATTGATCTTGGTTCGACTCGTCATTACCTGTACAGTGTAAGACTACTGTCTTGGTTGATACCTACCTAGGTAGGTAGTTCATGGAGGCAGCGGTGCTGTGTTCTATCAACCCAATCCATGGATTGAAAAGGCTCAAAATCTGACATTATCACAACTTGCCGTGTAGTATTCGTCTTCCTTGAACCAGTCTACCAAGAGACTCACACAGTGTCCTCCATGATCGGGTGCTTTGTTTCTATCAACATGACGAGTCTCGAGGCTAGTATTATTCGTCAGCCTTGCAGACAGTGCCAATGGATCAACACGAAGGTGCCTTATGTTTGTATGAGTACTAGTAGGTATGAGTAAGCGAGCTGAACAACTCAAGTTCGCCTGTGCGGCGGTGCAGCTCTCCAGCCACACCTTGAGCTGCTCGAATCGAGACCGCGCTCGTCCAACGTGCCTCGCGCAGCAGATTTCACAACCGCAAGCACTGTCGACAACCGAGAGAGATACCCCCCTAAATCTGCCCATCACTCATCCGCTTCCCGCCCTCCATTGGCCCTCTTGACGCTTTCTCCTCCCTCGCGCATAAGCCGTCTCCAGCATCCAGCTATAGGCATTCGCTGCTCCAGCACCGCGCCATGTCCGACTCGGAAGATCCCCTCGACGCCATCGACGAGGGCGGCGATGACCTCTTCGGCGACGAGGGAGACGAGGGAGATGCCTCGCCCCAGGCGCGCATCCTCGACGACGACGATCTCGCCTCAGATCCCGAGGCCTATGGCGAGGCCGAGCAGCGAGAATACGATGGCAGCCAGGCGCGACATGAAACCAAAGATAGAGTCGTCATGGCCGTCCAGGCCTATCGCCATCGCATCCCCAAGCCAACCGACGATGCGGTAAGCTTTCCAAAACGCGCCCAGGACGGAGCGCTCAAACACTTCCGGCATCACTTACTTACAAGGGCTCTAGCTGCGCGTGATGCGCGTTCCCAAATTCGTCAAGTTCCTGCCCGAGCCATACGACCCGGACACCTGGCAGCCCTCCCAGTTCGACCTCGAAAACGCAAGGGCAGAGCACCCCAAGCACGTGGTTCGGGTTCGCAGAGACCCCAGCACCAACGAGCTCAAGAGCAACACCAACATTTACCGGTGGAGCGACGGCTCCGTCACCATTGCTGTTGGAGGCGAGCACTACGAGATCCAGAAGAAGGCTCTGGCCCCCGCCCAGGGACAACCCTACGACGAACTCAAGGACGGCCATTACTACGCCGCGGCTGCCGAGCTGAGCAGCAATCTGCTCATGACGGTGGGACACTTGACGGAGCAGTACACAATCAGACCCAACAAGGCCGTCGGAGACGACGCCCTGTCTATCCTGGCAGAGAGAATGGCCATGGCCAGCAAGTCATCTACCGGCGGCGACATGATCATCAAGACGGTTATCGATCCCGAGCTACAGAAGAAGCAGGCCGAGCTGGCGGAAAAGGAGCGGATGAAGGCCCAGCGGAAGCGCGACAGTGCCGCGGCCAAGATGGACGGTGGCGTGGGACGTACCGGCCGGACCGGGCTGTCAATCGGCGGTCTGGAGGGCCCTCGCTCGGCCCGCAAGAGAGGAGCGCCCGGCGCTGCGCGACCCAAGAGACGGCGCCCAGAGTACGACTCTGACGACGACCTGCCCCAGGGCGTTGCGCGGCACGAAGAGTACGACCTCGATGACGGCTTCCTGGTGGGCAGTGACGAGGAGGAGATGGAGAGCGACGCCGAGGAGGAGGAAGAGGAAGACATTCTGGATGACGAGGACGACGCTCCTCGGCCCAAGCGACAGCGGACCAAGGAGCCGGAGGACGATGAGGATGCCGAGGGCGATGAGGTGGAGCCGGAAACACATGGCAGATCGGGCAGGCGGCGCAACGTGATTGACGACGACGATGATTAGTCCTCAAGAATCAGGGGTAATAGCTTTCTATGCATATCAACTAATTTATCAGGAAGTGTGAGATTAGAGCAACGGGAATACAAAAACGGGAGACACTGGGTTGTATCTTTTGATTGACATATAAACGGTTACTAAGACGACTGTGTATCATGCTTGACGTGTACGGTGAAACGGTGATTTGACGTTTCGTACGGCACAGGTGATGATGATTGATGACTGCTGTGGGCTAGCAAGAACGAAAAGTGAGAGAGTCGGACAATGAATGAGACAAGGCCATCTCAACGGTGGCGAGACGACGGCCCCAGCCAAAAGTGTTGAGTGCCTGGATGCTCCACTTGGGGGAAAGGAGAATGCCGTACATATATTGCTGTGATGGTTCTCAGAGACATCACATGATCGTTATCCCATCTATTGGCCATTGTCGAGAATCAATTTGGTGTAGGTAACTACGTAGGTATGTACTATGTAGTAGTGATAGGTCGTGCTGGGTGGGTGAATAACACACAGATAGTCCCTATCGAGATGCAGCATCATGCAGCGCCTATCGATAATGCCGCCCCTGCTTGTCAAACAAAAAGTCCAAGCCGAGGCCAAGGCTAGGCTACAAGTGGCGCCTGTGGCTGGACCCGGGGGTGATCTCATCGATTCCATGCTGCTCAACAATCCAGTGCATCACATGCTCGTCCGTTTAATTAATTAGCGGCCAAGGCCGTGGGAACAGGGAGATGCGATCCATTGCCTCTGCCGGGGGTAAGAGACAGACATTCAATCACAAGTTCACTATTACAGCCTCACTGGCCCCGACTCTACCGACCAAGACCCAGACAGACAAACAAACCACTGCCCTTGCCTACCTAACGACCGTCTGTCCTGCTCCTCTCACGGCCTCATTGACTCGACAGTTGCAAACAACATACGATGCCGTCGTCGTCTCCCGCTTACACTCGGCGCGCTGCGATCTGATCCTCTACCTACCAATCAATCGCCTCCCACAAGTCACATCGTGATACCGACATCGTTGCGTGCGTGTACGGACGACGTTGGCGATCGAGAGAACACTCGGCTCCAGCAACAACAGACACAGCACCATCGGCACCAACTCCCCCGTGTCCTGAGATGCCCCGGAGCGTGTCCAGCGCTTCCTCGGCACAATGATGGGGCTCGTGCTGGCCGTCTGGAGGGTCCTTGTGGACGTGGCCGCCTTCTGGCACAAGGTAAACGACACCTCTTCCCTGGTGCTGCCACATGGTGGTGATCGTGATTCGAGCGTCTTTCTTTCAATTTTGCTGACGCCCTTCCAGAAGCTCCTGAGCTGGTACACGCGCAAGAACCCCGTCACGCTGTGGCTCGAGCTGCTGCGCAATGCCGAGACGTTTGAGGACTGGGAGGAGGCGGCGCTGCATCTCGACAACCTGCTGGGGCTGGACCTGTGGTATGTATCCGATCATCATGCTGACAATGGGGACTCATACCTACTCGCATTGGACATGAGGTGTTGACAAACCGTTTTTTGGCTCCAGGAGAAACAACCCGACGTCCAAGTACTACGACTGGGCGCTCATCGCCGAGCGCCTCGACTCGCTCGTCGTGGCGCGAGAGGAAAACAACTACGAGCAGCTCGTCAACCTCCTGCGATCCGGCCTCGTCCGCAACCTCGGCAACATTGCCGTGCCCAAACTCTACAACCGATCCTTCTCCGGGACCAAGTATCTGATCGAGGAGTACATTGCCCAGGTGGCCGAATCCGTCGAGGACATTAGCGCCCTGCCCACGAGTCCCACCTCGAGCCTACATCATCATCCCAACGACAAGGCGTTGACGAACCAGATGAAGCTCGACTTTATCCACGACACGCGGCAGGCGTTTGGGCGGACGACGCTGGTCCTTCAGGGCGGCGCCATCTTTGGGCTGTGCCATCTCGGCGTCGTCAAGGCCTTGTTTCTCAGGGGCTTGCTGCCGCGCATCATTACCGGCACGGCGACGGGCGCCTTGATTGCTGCGCTCGTGGCGATCCACACCGAGGACGAGCTTCCGGCCGTTCTTCGCGGTGATGGCATCGATCTCAGCGCCTTTGCGTCCAAGGGGGCTGACGACAATGGCCAGATCCCGGCTGAACAGTCCCTCAAGTCCAGGTGGGAGACGCTTATCCGGAGAGTTCGCCGGTTCTCGCGAGAGGGCTACTTCTTGGATGTCACCGTCCTCGAGGACTGCGTGAGGGCCAATGTTGGTGACTTGACCTTTGAGGAGGCGTACCACCGCAGCAAGAGAGTGCTCAACATTACCGTGGCGACGGATGGCCAGGGGGCCGGCGTGCCGACCCTTCTCAACTACATCACCGCCCCGAACGTGGTATGTTGTATAACCAGCAGCCCCTGAGCGAATTTCCTCCCCCTTCTGTGCTAACTCTCCTGATACAGCTGATTTGGACGGCTGCCGTCGCCTCCAACGCGTCATCGCCGTCCCTATACGGACGCTCCAAGGCCACCATCCTGTGCAAAGATGCCCATGGCAACATTGTTCCCTGGGCGCCGGCCAACACGACCGACTTTCGCCACTGGACACATGCCTCCTACACGGATCGCGACTCTCCCCTGAGGCGAATCGCCGAGCTGTTCAACGTGAACCACTTCATCGTCAGCCAAGCAAGGCCGTACCTCATCCCCTTTCTGCAGTCCGACATGCACGGGCCGTCTCTCGTGGAAACGAGAAGCAAGAGCACGCAGCTCTCGGCTTTCCTCGTCCGCATGGTGGGCCTCGAGATCCGGCACCGCCTGCGGCAGCTCGACTCCCTCCGCCTCGTCCCCGCAAGCATCCGCCGCTTCCTGGTGGACGAGCAGGTGCCGGCGGCGTCAATGACTCTGGTGCCCGAGGTGACTGCCGGCGACTTTATCCGCCTGCTCGAGACGCCGACGAGGGACACGCTCAACTACTGGATCCTGAGGGGCGAGCGGAGCGTGTGGCCGGCGGTGGCGGCGCTGCGGATACGCTGTGCTGTGGAAAACGAGCTGGATCGGTCGTATCAGGTTGTGAGGAAGCTCAAGGCGGGTGACTTGAGGCGCAAGGGCAGCATGGCGGCGTTTGCCGATAATGGGCGGTAGCATTGAATGGTGAAGGTTCCCCCCTTTTCCTTTTTTTTTTCTTTTCTCTTTTCTTTCCTTTGTTTATTTGTATATGGTATATCTTATGGCGCATTATCTAGGAGTCTAGGTGTAGGAACAACATACTACCCTGCATATTTTGATAACATTTTAATTATCACTTTCCATCATCATGTACTGACTCAAGGCCCCGTCTTTTTGACAGTCGATGTGACTCTTGACAGCCATGATTCCTCCAATGCACTCAAGTGAACGCAATGTGACAATACCTTTTACTCCCACAGCTACTGTCCCTGCCCTTGTGCTCAACAAGATCATTCACCGTACCAACTAGCAAACGCACTTTCATTCTTCTCTCCTTCTTCCCTACAAATGGCCCTATATCAAAAAAGAAAGCAGTTCTCACCCGTACGTACTCGTCTTCACCACGCCAACTCTTCTCAGCCCACATCTTCCCCCTCGACCTCCTTTAAACCATGGCACATCACTATCCTCCACGACGCCGCTTCATCAATATCGGCAGGCCGAAGCCAGTCTCGTCCTCCTTCATTTTCCTCCACGACAGCAACTCCTCTTCCACAGCCCTCTCGCAGCAATTCGCCCACGCGCTCAAACCAAAAAGCACGACAGACATGCTAGGCTCTACAACGACAAACATGCTCTTTCTCAACGCGCCCATACACACAATAACAACAACAACAATCCTTCCTACCCCTCCGCCAACTCCTTGTCCGCAAACGCAAGAAGAGGAACCCCATAAGCAGCACACATGGTTTTCAACAATCCAACCAATAGGCGCAGACGACGACGACGACGACGACGACGACGTTCCAAGTACAGCCTCCTGGAACGAGCTATCCCTCTGCATGAACCTGCTCGAAAAGGCAGTCGTGAGGCAGTCCGAGCGAGTCGGTAGGGAGAATGTCTTTCTCGTGGGCGTGGGCATGGGGTTTGCGGTGGCGGCGACGTACGTGATGCAGATGGATGAGCGGATAGGGGGGTTGTTGGGGGTTGGAGGGTGGTTGCCGTTTCATAGTGTGTTGAAGAGGGTTGGGGTTTATGGGGAGGTGGTGGTGGTGGTGGCTGGTTTGGCGGAGTTGAGCGGCTATGCGCAGTTTGATATGAAGAGGATGGATGAGAAGGGGGAGGAGGAGGAGGATGAAGAAGAGGAGGAGGAGGAAGAAGAAGAAGAAGAAGAAGAAGAAAAAGATGAAGAGGACGTGTTTGGTTCAGGATACTCAACTCCCACCCTCTGCGAAGAACAACACAACGACCAAGCACCCTCCTCTGAGCTGATGCTCAGACGCACAAAGGCCTTCCTCGAATACATCCTCCTACACGGAAAGCCACCCACGCACCCCCGAGTCTGCAACCGCATCGACAGCTCCACGCCCGTGGTGCTCGTCCACGGAGCAGAGGACCAAGAGGTCGGCTTCACGTATGCAAAGGAGGCGCAGGAGACGCTGCGCCATTTCGGGTTCGAGGCGACGCTGAGGGTCGTTGAAGGGGAGACGCATGAGCTGAGTCGGAGGTTGATTGGCGACTTGATGGATGGCTTCATGAGGAGGGGGCTGGGGAACGGGGACGTCAGGGGGGCTGTTGGGGAGATGCTCTTGGAAGGGTGGTTGTAGAAGTGTATCTTTGAAGACTGTTTGTTTTGTGTGTGCATTGATGTTTATATACATATACATATATATATATATATGGCAACTGGTTGTGTTCTTGGGAAGTATCGCATTTGCCCTTTTACTGTTCTGCAACGCATCATTGTGTATATAGACTCAAACATATCCCATCAATCATATTCCAGCTACACACACTTTCATCCAAGATCAAGGAAGCACATACCCCCCATCGATCAAAACATCACTCCCCGTCATGAAGCTCGACGCCTCGCTCCCCAAGTACAAATACACCCCCTTAATCTCCTTGACATGCCCCTGCCTCCCCAGCGCCGCCATGCGATACGCCTCCTGCAGCGCCAGCTCGCCCGCGCCCATCTTGGTGTCGAAGAAGCCCGGCGAGACGACGTTGACGCGCGCAAACTCGCGCCACTCCCGCGCGAGCGACTTGCCAAAGTGCGTGACGAACGCCTTGGTCGCGTTGTACACGGGCTGGTCGACGGGCACGTTGACAATGTGCGCCGACATGCTCGACGTGATGATGAGGTTGCCGTGGCCTTGCGACTTGAAGACTGCGCCAATGTACTTGGAGCAGAAGACGACTCCGTCCACTGTTGGGGGATGTAAGTATATATAAACAAGATTGTATCGTGAGTATTGATGAACATGGTGATGTACTGGTATCAGAGGAGAGAGGGGGGGCGAAACAACTGGGTGGTGGGTTACTGACCGTTGACAGACATTTGCTTCTGATACTCCTCCAGCGTCTGTTCCAATATCGGCTTCGAGATTGACATTCCTGGATAGAACACACCGTGAGCACACACCTCAAAATCAACTCAAAAGGCAGACGTCTGTTCTTGTAAAGCAAAAGAAAAACAAAAACTCACCCGCATTCGCAACAAAGACATCAATCTTGCCAAACTCCCCAACCACCCTCTCAATACCACTCTTCACCTGCTCCGCCTCGGAAACTACACAAACACGCACACACAACAAACCCGTCAGCTAAACACACATCAAGTCATCAACAAAAAAAAAATATTCAAAAACATGATCGTGGACTCTCCATCATACCGTCAACTTGATACGCAACAGCCCTGACGTTATGCATCGCCCCAAGCCCCTTTGCTCTCTCAACAGCCGCATCGTTCCTAAAATAACACGAACCGTAAGCCTAACTTGCCTCTTCCTCACCCACCCATCTCACTCTCACATTTATAAGTGTCAAGCTTTCAGGGGAAAAAACTCACGAATTATACCACATAGCCACGTCCGCCCCAGCCTCAGCCATGCCCTCCGCAACAGCGAATCCAATCCCGTCCGCCGCACCAGTGACCACCACCACTTTGCCCTTCATCTGGAACTGCTGCAGCACATTGTTCGGCGTGTCGGGCACAGGCCGCGGGAAGCCGGGCCGGACCCTCGTGCAGTCCTCGACGGTCATGGACATGGCGGGCGTGTTTAAGTTGTTGATTCTTCTTGTTTACCTAGGTAGGTAGGTATATGACGAAGACGTCCAGATGGTACGGTTTTTGAACTTGACAAGAGTTGATAAGACAGGTTGAGAAGCAACTCACGCCGTCTTATAGTAGGCAAGATCAAAGGCAAACCCCTCAACAGATCGCCTTAGACGGCATGCCGGATGACCCCCCGCGCGGCTCCGGGTGACCGTGGGCCGGTCGACGGAGAATCGACGGAGAAAAGGTCCGGCTAAATGAGCGTCTTTTTATCATACCTAAGGTAGGATATGCATCTCGTATTAGGGTTCTTATTTGGAAAAAGAAAGGCATTCAAACAATCTGCTGTCCAAAAGTATCACTGTAACATGCTTATAATCAACTCAGCTCCTCGTCCAATGTCGTCTTCCATACCTGCTGCAACCAACGGTCACCCAGCTCGTCTTTCCAACCAAAAACCAATACCCAAATATGCCCGTCCTCCATCTTACAATGTTTGTGTGACGGGGCGCTTGTATCCTACAATCTCAGTCCAGCAAGGTAATCAAAAATACAAAAAGCTTCTCTTGGAGTTACCAGTACTTTCTCTCCCGGCCTTCATACACAAAATTGAGGCCAGCAGCAACAAACAGCGCCACACAGAGCGCACTCGGTCCCCAGCGGTCATAGTAGCGAGCAGCCTTGCGGTTGCGAATCGACCGACTTCGATAGAAGTAGATGCCCACAGAGTAAAGAAGACTACAAATGGCCAGAAGGGTGAAGATACCGGCGATCCAGAAAGCAGTAGGTGTAGGGTGGTCCCCAAAGTTGAGGAGCGTCGTGGCAATGGTTCCGATGTAAATCGAGTACTCAAGCTACAATGACATACAAAGTCAGTAAAAGAGAAACAAAAAAGTTTGTTCGAGACAGTAGGGCAGACGGCGGCTCAAACTTACCCAACCAAGGAACGTCCGCTCGGCCGCAAAGTACACCTTGGGCTCCACGCGAACCGGAACATAAATCTTCTTGCCCGGAGGCGCGCTGAACCGCTTGTGCTGAATCCTCTGGTCGCCAAAGAGGGACTGCAGCCTGGCGGCTCGAGGCATCTCGGTCGCGCGAGGACGCGGAACCACGTACTTTAAGGCGTTCCAAGCACCCGAGGCAGCGGCACTGGCCTTTGACGCAAGCAGAACTCGGTAGTAGTGCCATCCGCCAACCCTCCGGGCCTCCTCCAGCTCGTAGTTTTCGTCGTACTCTTCGTCAGAGTCGTAGATGGGATAGTCTTCATTCGCCGTGGGCAACTCAACCGTCTGGCCCTCTGTATCGGAAGCAGGGACACGAAGCCTTGCGCCGTGTCTGCTGGACTCGCCGTTACCAGCGCCGCGGCGAGCGGCTTCCGCTTCTTCGTCGTCAGAATCGAGCTCTTCCTCCTCGTCATCCGACGTCGTTGTCGTTCCTGAAATATCGGGCCGGCGGATTCCGAAATCGTGCGTCACCGGCTTGCGGATGTCAACATCCATCTGAGGCATCCAGTACGGCAGCAGCTTGATGCGCGTGGGAAACAGACAGGCAGTGCCGTGAATGAACTTGGAGAACTTGGGGACGGCCTCGACCAGATGGGACGCGATGACCTGTCTGATCCATTCCGGCGGCTCCTGTCCCACCTGTGTCTGCAGCTTCACCTCGAGAACGGCGTAGGGGAAGCGCACGATATCCTCAGGCGGGAGCTGGGAGAAGGGATAGTCGACTCCAATGTCCATGCGTCGCCAGTTGTCACCAGAGCGAATTCGGCCATCCAGGTTGTCCTCTCGAATCATGGTCAGCTCCGTGTCGAGCGAGATTCGCACTCGGGCATCCGCAGGCAGCTGGAAGGCGGTTCGGTTGTAAAACGAACGGCAGACAGGCTTGTAGCCGTGCTTCAAGACCGAGTATTGGATCTCGGCCGCCAGCCGCTCGTCCTCGGCAATGGCCTTTTCCGACTTCTTGCCCTCCTTGCGGGCCTTTTCAAAGATGGCGGCCGGCAGCAGCTCGCCTCTCATGTAGGCGTTAACATTCTTCTCCTTGAGCGAGAAGCGAGCCTTGACGGACTTTTCTCCCGTCCAGTCTTCTCGGTGAGTCTTGCGCTCGACGAAGACGGTCTCGGTCTTCATGCCACCATACCATCGGAGTCGGATGGCCTCAGCGCCTTCAGTCTTCTTCAGGCGGCCCTCGTATAACGGGAACCCATCGGGGTTATCGTAATAGATGGATGTGATGGCCTGGTCCTGCTGCTCAAACTCCTTGCTGGCATTAAAGACCAATACGGGCAAGTGCTTGAGGATGATGAGTTTCAGCTCCGTCACATTGTCGGGGTGTACCCAGTATTTCGTCGTCTGTCGGATGAAGCTGGCCTGCGAGCCACCGGCCGCGCTGTCGCCCTTGACGGGGTTGCCCCTTGTCCGGACGAGGTCGTAGAGCTTGGAGAGCTTGATGACGGAGGCGTCGTAGTTTTCCTTGTAAAAAGGCTTGGCCTTGAGTCGGGTATCGAAAGCGGGACGGAGGTGCCAGCCCGTCATTTTCTGCAGCCCCATGAAGCGGTTAGCCAAGATACAACGTATACATGCCGACGACGGGGGAGCAGGGGAGCATGCGTACATCGTGCTTCTTGATAATCTTGTAGAACCCGGTATAGTTGAGCTGGACAAACTTGGCCAGGTCGTGCACGTCGGCAATGATGTCGCTCAGGTCTTCCTCCAGCAGCATAAACTCCTCCTCGCTGGGGCCCTCCTCGCCCGGGCCGCGCTCGTTGAGCCGGTTGACGACCTCCTTGACCTCGCGCTCGCTGACGGCGATGCGGCGGGAAATCTCCATCGCCTTCACCTGCTGCTTGGTGTGCACCTTTTCGAGCTCGGCCTCGAGCTTGGCGACGAAGCGCGTCTCGTCGTCCTCGGTCCACTGCTTGTGGCCAGAGCCATCCGCGGCCAGCGGGCCCGTGGCGGCCTTGAGCTCGGCCTTGAGGCCATTGTAGTCGATGTAGTACCACTGGTACTCGCGGATGATGCTCGACCGCAGCTGCTCGCCGAACTTCATGACGACGACGCCTGGTCCGACTTTGGAGGATCTGTCGCGCGGTCGGAGGGCTGTCCAGTTCTTGCCTATGGCCCTGTAATCTTTCGCAATCAGCATAGAGACTCGGGCTTGTTTGTGAGCTCTCAAGAGGCGGTCGATGGGCGACTGGAGCGCAATTGGGGCCGAACTCGAGGCCCAATTGATGGAAGAAGCAAAGAAATTTGGAGAGAACAAGCAACAAAAGAGAGGGCAAAGTTTCAAAGAAGCGCCATGGCAGGCTTTACCCGGTCTTGTCACCGAGGCCAAACTCACCTTTGGGGATGGGGGCAGAGCACAACTGCGGCAGCGACTCGTGGGTGCCGGCAGAAGTGGATGCGACACAGAAGAAAGGGCCCAGTCACGGCTGCTCGAGGCCTCAGCAAATGAGAAGACGGAGGGAGAGAGTTGGCAGTGAGTGTCTCTGCGCTGTCGCAGTCCGTATTCTTTTCCAAAACTTCGCTTCCGTTGATGCTTGGGAGAAGAAACGGAGCCCCCGTCACCTCGAACCGTCCCAAGGCCTCGACTTTCCGCAGCCTCTTGGAGCTGGACCTCGACGCCAACAGGCTCCACCGCCGAGCCAATCGCAGCAGCTTCTGGCGAATCACGGCGACCAGCTGGGCAACGTGAGAAGGGAGACGGCGGCCCACAGCGGTCACCCATGCGTTACGGAGGGCCTGCGATCCACTGGAGCTCCAGCGGCTTCAGCAGCCTTCGCTGGCCTTCGGTAGCGCTTTCAGAGCCTGTGCTGTGCTGGCAGTTAAAATCTCCATCTTGGCGGCAGCGCGCTAGAGCAATCGATTAAGCACTCGAGCGTCATCTCACCATCTTAGCTTCTTTCTGGCCGGTTGAATGACCACATGCAAATGGAATGGTGGAGCACGCTCGATAAGGTACTCGGCACTATCTTATCAGTGATTTTTCGATTTTTGCCTGAACCTCTGGTGATATCGCCAGTGGTGGTCATTGGTGTTGACAGCTGAGTTGAGAGTTTGCAGCGAATTCAAGTTGGGCAGAAGAAGCACGCTCACGGCATAGGAAACGGCATACAGCTGCCGCTCGCTTGATTCCGTTGGGCCAATCCACCAAGCCAGAAGCCTAAGGCACTCAAGAAAGTCATAACCTTAGCCTGCTTGGACACCTACAGATCATCAACAATTAATTACCCCTCCATGTCAACGCCCGCCATGCCCTCCCCAATCGACGACTCCCTCGCGGCCCGCATCTCCCCCGACTGCCCCCAAGACACCCGCGATGTCCTCCACCACGCCTGGGCCCACGACCTGAGCGGCCTGAAGAAGCTCCTCGTCGACCGCTCCAAGGCCAGCGCCCAGGACCCCAAGACCGGCGAGACCCCGCTGCACGCCGCCATCCGCGCCTGCGGCCCGGCCGAGAAACCAGACAAGAACGCTGCTGCTGCCGGCGAGGCTGAGGAGGGAAAAGAAGAAGAAGAAGACGAGGGCGAGGATGGCTGCGTGGAGGAGGCCCGCGAGGTCGTCCAGGCGCTCTTCTTCTCCGGCGCCATCTGGAACGACGTCGACGCCAACAACGAGACGCCCGGCTGCGTCGCCTACCGCCTCGGCCGAAAGACGCTGTACAACATGTGCGTCGACGCTGGCGTGCGCGCAGAGATTCTTTTTGCCCTGATGGACGGCTACGAAGAGCTCTCCTCCGGTGAAGACGAAGAAGAAGAAGAAGAAGAAGAAGAAGAAGAAAAGAAAGAAGAAGACCAAGTCATGAAAGACGACAAACAACCCGCAGAAGAAGAAAAAGAACAAAAAGAGAAGGAAGAAACAAACGCCGAAACCGCCAAAGATCCAGAACCATCGGCATTCGTACCCCCCGACGTTGACGAAAAGCAAGTGACCAGCAAAGAATACCTCGAGTCCGACCTCACCTACGACGCCAACAAGCTCCTCGACGCCGACCTCAACGGCGTCATGATGTCCTGGGAGACGGACATCATGCGCCGCTCCGTCGCCGCCCTCCTCCCCGACGGCCCGCCCGGCAAGCGCGTCCTCAACGTCGGCTTCGGCATGGGCATCATCGACGGCATGTTCGCCGCCCTCAAGCCCTCGCGCCACCACATCATCGAGGCCCACCCGGACGTCCTCGCGCACATTGCCAGCCCCGGCAGCGCCTTTGGCGCCGCCTGGGAGGACAGCGCGCCCGAAAAGGGCGAGTACCGGGTCTGCAAGGGCCGGTGGCAGGACGTCGTCCCGCTGCTCGCCGAGCAGGGCTACCTCTACGACGCCATCTACTTTGATACCTTTGGCGAGGACTACTCGCAGCTGCGGACCTTCATCATGGAGTGGGTTCCCGCGCTGCTGGATCAGGGGGGCAGATTCAGCTTCTTCAACGGGCTCGGTGCGGATCGGAGGGTGTGTTACGACGTTTACACGAGGGTGGTGGAGATGCACTGCGCTGATGCCGGTCTGGACGTGGAATGGGAGGAGAGCGACGTTGACATGGCCGAGCTGGACAAGGATGGCCAGGGGGAGTGGGAGGGCGTTCGACGGCGGTACTGGACGCTGGACAGTAAGTTTCCTCCCGCTTTGCATGCACGGGAATGCCGAATGTGGCTAACAACTGGACAGAATACCGACTACCTATCTGCACCTTTATGGGTTGACGCGAACGAGAGGGACTTGCAATCATATACCCCAGGCGGAGTGCTTTGTTGAGCATATACATAAAAAACGTCGTTGGAGAACAAAGAAAGAATCATCAATAAAGGAATATGTATATTATAGCCGTCTGCTTCTGATAATCTTCTTTTAGGCAGGTACTTTTTTTTTGGGCTTAGACAAACATGTTCCAAATCTAGACAAAATTCTCAGGATGCAAAATGCCGGCCAAGTTGCCAGCCTTGGCCCGCTTGAGCGTCAGGGCCGCAATCAGGGCAGCGCCAACACCGCTGCCATCCTCGGCTGCCAGAATCTCCACCGGGTCCTCCTCCTTGGGGTTGCTCTTCGCGGGCCAGTCGAGGATCTCTCGCAGGGCCTTGGCGCCGCGGGCCTTGAAGTGAGGGTACTTGTTGAAGACGGATCCGTCGGCACCGACGTGGCAGCTTTCAAAGCTCTTCTTCTTGCAGATGGCCGCGACACCGCAGGCGGACAGTCGGGCAGCTCGTGTTCCGATGAGCTCTGACAGCCTCCGGACCAGCTCAAGCTCGGGTCCCGTGGGTGTGATGTTGAGCTTCGACTGGAAGGTATCAAAGGTCTCTTGGAGGTTCTCGAAGGGGTCCCTTTTTGTTTGTTGGTTAGTCACAATCACAAATCCTACAGCTGCGCGGCTGTTCGTCGGGCGTAAAAACTCACTCTTCGATGCCAGAGAGGAAGGATGAATCCAATGTGTAGGGCCTGCGGAGCAAAGAGATGTCCTGGTTCTCAAAGATGTGAATGTCCTTGTTGTCATGCAGGTCCACCAGGACCAGTCGGAAGATCTCGCCCAGGTAGAGACCGGCAATCATCTTCTCAAACGCCTGCTGGCCAGGGCGAGGAGAGTCTTCATCGATGGCGATGTCGTACTTGGTGCGGGGCAGGACCTTGTGCTCGTTGTCAAAGGCACCCCACTCGCAGTTGATGGCCATGGGGCAGTCAGGGGGGAGGTTCATGTGCGCCAGCTTGGGGATGGAGCCGCAATCCTCCATGTAGGCGGCATTACATCCCGTTCCGAAGATGCAGCCAATCTTCACCTTGGGGTCTGTGTAGGCGGAAGCAATCAATGTGCCTGTCGTGTCGTTGATCAAAGCCGACAGTTTGATGGGCACACCCTAGTCATGCCACATGTGAGCAAGTCGCAGGAGGTTTTACATCCACGCAGAGGCAGCACAGGCACCACTTACACGCTTAGCAATCGCAGCCTCGAACATGGGCACGACATTCTTTCCCTCAACACCGGCAATATCGAAGCCCTTGGTCCAGCGCTGGAGGATGCCCTCGTCGATGTAGTGCTGAGTGGCCGGGTAGGAGAAGGTGAAGCCAAGAGGCAAGGCCTCCAGCTTGCTGCAGTCGCCGTGGTGAGTCTCGATGAACTGGTGCAGGCAGTCGGCGATGTACTCCCACAGCTCCTCGCTGGAGCCGGTCTTGAGCTCTTCCGGCATGCGGTACTTGGACTGGATGATGTCGAACTCCGACTTGCGGTCCGTCAAGGTGATTTCGCACACCCGCAGGTTGGTGCCACCCATGTCCAGAGCCAGGAAAGAACCAGTCTCGTGGCCATCAGGGTAAGACATGACCCAGGTAGGGTTCATTGGCTGGACGGCTGTTAGATACCGAGTACCAAAACAATAAATCCTAAAAGATTCTTTTACGCACGATGCTGCCACCCTCCACACTGAGACCTGTGAACGCCAAACCATTAGCCTACGATGCAATGGGTATCAACACACACAATTGGCACATACCTTTGGCGAGCTCATTGACAAAGTGGTCCGTAATCTCCTTGAGCTTGGCGGTGTCGACAGTGAAGATCTCCTCCAGCTTCCTCACCTCGTTGAGGAGATCCTTGGGCAAATCCGCAGCTGAGCCTGCCATGGTGGTCAGTATTTTCTGCTACAACACCTGCCAGACGTCTGATAACCCGAGTTCCGAGTGTGGAGAAGGGAAACGAGGCGAAACTAAGGATCACCAAGCCGCTATATATGCCGGAATTTTTTTTATGTTGGTTGCCTAGTAGTAGTACCATGACGTGGTACATGTACCTGGCGCCAGACGGGCTCGTCCTGTGCAACTTGGAGATGACGTTACAAGCGGGACTTTGTTAACCCCTTGCCTTAGCCAGGAATTGAGTAAGGCTGCAGAGCACAACGTTTTTGGCTTGAAGGCTAATCACGCCTCGCTCCTCCTAGGCGTCCTTTCTTTATCGCAGACAGTGATCCAAGTGGGTAGTAGTTTGGAAGGCATTTTGATACCGGCAAATGTGTCGTGTGTCCCGGGAGACAATGGCCTGATATGGGCCGGAATGGGCAGCAAGAGACGGAAGCAGCGGGCACTGTGCCAGGAGAGCAATTGGACAAGATGGATGAAGCAGAGCTCAGAAGAAAACAAGAGGATGGCATCTGAAGACTGATGAGTAGCTCAACGTACCCTTTCTAGAGGGAGGCGGGCGAGGGCCGAGTCCAACCATTTTGACGGTGGGATCGCGGGGTCTGGCGGGGTAGCTGTTGAAAAGTGTAAAAGGAGGCTCGCGGAGCAGGAGGCGAGCCGAGCGTGAGGGCAGTCAAGCACACGCGGTTAGGTGAGGCGGCAGCGAGGAATTGAGCGTCGAGGTAGCAAAAGCGAGAGGGTGCAACAAGAGGGATTGTTGGTCGAGCAGAGGTCGCAAGAGGTCCGAGTCCGGCCAGCAGAGGAGCAAAAAGCGTGAGGCACGGGGAAGCAGGCTGCAGCTATAAAGGCTGGAAAGTTAGGTTGGGCTGGCTGGGTCCCATCCAATTCATTATGTACCTAGTAGTACACGTAGTAGTTGGGCCCCCCTCCCCTAGCCGATGCTTCCAGCTGGGCTGGTTGGCTGCTGAGACCGGCTGCTGCTCAGGGCTATCGAGTCCCGTCCCCAGTGCTTCGTTTAGTGGACTTGTGGTGCCCCCAAGGGCCCCATCAGGCCGGTACATGGGCGTTGAGGCAGCGTCTAGACCACCCCGATGGGCAGACACGGGGCATCAACAGAGTCGGAAGTCAGAATTGAGCGCTTTTACTGGAATCCACGGAGACTAGAGGTGAAAGGATGTTGATCTTATTACTATATTCAAGCAGCTACCGAGTATTTTATTACGATGCAGTGTTTCTATAAGACTCTTTGTATGGATAACAGTACCTAACTGTTATCAGATAGTAGTTCGTACGAAGAATGCATCCATATGCCGGTTCAGGCCCTTTTCCTCTTTCCAGATAACCTTTGCAATGCCGGCAGATTCTAGCTCGATCCTTCTGCTACATACGTACCTCATAGTAGAACTACTACTCACACACACCTACAAAGGCGATGCACCATTTTTCGTCATTTCCCCACCGTCCAACTTGCCTCGCCAACGCCCGGAAGCGACCTGAAAGCTCCAAGCAGGGCGACGGCAGCCATGGGTGGTCAAAGTGGTACCTGTTGTAGCAACGCCCGGAAATTCATATCGCCGCCACCAGCTCCCGCCCCCGCTGCGGCCGCTGATTGGCCACCACCCCAAGCTTTCCCCCCCAAAGCTCGCTCGCCAATCGCTTATCGTTATCGAATGGGCGACGTATGCTTCAATGCTCAAACACTTGGCCGCACTAACACCAAACAGAGAGCGAAGCTGCCACAGTCTCACGATCGAGAGAGCCAAGACAGAGACCGCCGCTGAACCGCCGTCCCATTGCGCAGGGCTCGCCGCCAAAAACCCGGTCAATGCCCTCGTCGAGATGAAGTCGCTGTCAGTATTTGCGACGCTGCTGGGCCTCCTGGCCGCTGGGCCTTGCAGCGCCCTCTCCACGGTCACTCTGCCCGTCGACTTCAAGCCCCCACCAGTCTTCAAGAACACCAACCTGGTGCATGTCATTTCGGTCGAGAAGAGCTACGCAAAGGAGCAGATCAACGTCCTGGTCGAAAACGTTGCCAGCGAGCCGCAGGCCGAGTACTTTGTGCCCTTTACCGCTGGTCAGATTGCGCGCGTTGGTGGCCTCGAGGCCAAGGATCGCAAGGACGACACGATTGGGCCTTTTGCGGTTGACCTGGTGGAGTACGATGGCTCAAAGTACGTGCATCGCATAATATAATGCCGTCCCCAGTGAAGGATGGCTTTCTGGTCTGGTGCTAACAAGTAGGTGCCGACAGCGACGTCCAATACTACCGCATCACTCTCCCAACACCTCTCAAGGCCGGCGGCCAGTACCCCCTCGCCATCTCATGGTACTACCTCGACTCGTATCGCCCTCTCCCGGCCTCGATTGCTCAGGACGAACAGCAATTCCTCGTCTACGACTTTTCTCTCTACGCCCCATCGGCTTACCCGACCCTGAAGCAAAAGACCGAGGTCAAGTTCTCGACGGTCAACATCCCAGACTACACCACGACTACCGGCCCTGGAGGCAAGGAGTATCCCGAGAAGCATGGCAGTAAGATGCTGTACGGACCCTTTGACGAGCAGCCGGCCGGCGCCTACTTCCCCGCCCAGGTCAGGTTCGAGTTCACCAAGCCCGTCATCCACGTTGAGACGCTTGAGAGAGACATTGAAGTCAGCCACTGGGGCGGCAACGTTGCGTTTGAGGAGAGATACACCTTGCTCCATCGGGGTGCCAACCTCTCTTCCCTCTTTAACCGCGTCAAGTGGGCTCAATCTCAGTTCTTCCAGCCTGCTACCATGGCATTGAAGGAGCTCAAGTTCCCTCTCCAGATTGGCAGCGTTGACCCCTACTTCATCGACACCATTGGCAACGTGTCGACCTCTCGGTTCAGGAGCAGCAAGCGAGAGGCCATGCTGGAGCTGAAGCCCCGATACCCCGTGTTTGGCGGCTGGAAGTACCCGTTCACCATTGGCTGGAACACCAATGCGGCCAACGTGCTGCGCAACACCGCCAGCGGAGGCCATGTGCTCAAGGTACCCTTTTTGGAGGGTCCGAAGCAGGCGGAGGGTGTCGAGTACGGCGAGGTCAACGTCCGAGTCCTCCTGCCCGAGGGATCTGAGTGAGTGCCCCCTTTTAGACGCTTTGGACACAGTCATGTCGAGATGGAAGCTAACAATGAGCTAGAAACGTCAAGTTCCACACCAGCGTCCCCGACTCATCGATTGTTGAGACATCCATTGGTGTTCACAAGACGTATCTCGACACGCTTGGCCGGACGGCTGTTACCATCAAGGCCAAGAACCTGGTAGACGAACACCGATTCCGGGACCTCGTCATCTCCTACGAGACGCCCTTGACAGGCACTCTGCGCAAGCCCGTGGTCATTTTCGCGAGCATGCTCGCCGTCTATGCCGCGGCATGGGCGGTCGGAAAGGTGCAGGTGGGATTCTCATCCAAATAAACGGCATGGGTTTGATGTTTTGGTGGATGGAATATAAGAGTCTGTGTCGTTGGGTGGGCTTTACAAAAGCTGCACGACGCAGCCAAAACGATAGATGTGATTTATTTGACCTTGTACGAAGTATGGCGCGCGGAATATCGGCCCGCTGGCAGTGGCCACATGGCGAGCTCAGTGGTAGAATATCAAGCAAGTTTTTGTTTTCGTTTACACAAGCGCATGTGTCTCTAGTTTCATTTCAGCAGCTGGCGGTGAGGACTGTATGTAGTGATGTTGACGAGGGCTGATATCGAATAGCGCTTCATAGGATCGTGCAGATCTCCAGGCTCTGCGATGACGCCATTAGCGCCTCTGCTGTCATGGCTCGTATGCAATGAAGATGCTGTATGTAGAAATGCAGCTATCCTTTGAAACCGAAGCCAAGACAAAAGCGCCCTACGAAGAGCCTACCTTACGTTTAGCCCAGCTGATGGATACAGATGCCTCGCATAATGAACCCGGTTGCATAAAGAACCTACCTTATTACTTCACGATCCAACCTGGAGCAGCTTAGAGCCGGCAAAGGCGAGGAACGGCTTCCAGCGCATCGAGGCTGTGCCACCGACTTGAACTCCTCTGTAGGTACAAAGCATTCATTACTGGTGCCAAGTGATACCTTGTAGTTAGCAGCCCTCCAACTCTAAGCAGTAGTGATACCTCGATGGATGCCTTGTGTGTTCAGGTACATCCTCGTATGTATGTGCTGCAGATTGGTGGAGTGGCGCAGGGCCTCCACGCTTGTTATGTATGGAGGAATTGAACAGGGATCAGAAACTTGGCCACGGGATCGGAAGATGGGAAGATGTCTGAGTTGTGTCATCAATTGCCCCGGATGCTGTGGTGTTTACCTACCTATTTAAAGAAACGGGACGTTTCCTTTCTTTGTGCCTGACGACAGCCTTGTTCGACTTCTTTGTTGTCCCTGCGTGCATACCTACATGTACGTACAATCATCTTTGGACACACGAGAGAGGTTCCAATAAGTTGTTCATTCGGCTTTACTTTGATCTGTAAATACCTACCTACTACCACCACATACACGGTCAGCACCAAATCTGCCAAACAACCGACATTCAATCGCCAAGTCCTGAATACCCGGTGTATCATCACTTCGGCCTACCTACCTACCTACCTAAGGTATCTAACCCACTCGGCAAAAGACACAGCTTTCACCTCGCCAAACAATCAAAACCTCCTACAAGAGCCAAGACAAACATGTGCTTCTCCGTGGAACCAAAGGCCAAATACTACTACCAAGAGGAAATCATCCCCGCGCGGCCGCACCGCCATCACCACCACCATCACCACCACTCGCCGCGGGCCAGCTACACCACCGTCGACCGCTACAGCCCGCGCGTCAGCTCCAGCAGCTACCGGCGCAGCGTGCCGACGAGGGTCGTCTATGAGGAGCCGACGAGGGTTGTGTACACTCGGTAGAACTGCCGGTGTCCTTGACTTTGAATGATCTTGTGTTTTTTTTTTTTTTTTTTGGTTCTTGACAATGCGGTGCTCCTGGCGGTACTACTAGAGCGGGATTTGGGCGGGTTTTCATGTCATGATGGAATCGCGAGGAAAGCGACGGATAATGAAGCTACGAGAGACTTGAATGCGATGACGGCGCTGAACGGCCACTGCCACGTTATATAACTTTGCGCCTGCGGGCTACCTATATAATGAAGACAAGCTCATGCGATTGGCACACTTTGACGGGTGAAGTCTTCTCCAGATAAATCATCATCCGCGAAATGGCGCCTCATCACTGGACTCTCCAGATTCTCCCGCTCCCACCAACAAGCCAAAGCTGACCTCGATCCAGGCAATCAAGCTTTCTTCCTCTTCCTCTTCCACAAAACATTAGAATCGCGCCCCCGAAACAAACAGCTCGCCCCTCCTCCCCCCCTTTTGCACTGTTTGTGCCCACAATGGCCATTTCTGCTACACAGCCGTGTCGATACAAAAGGAAAAGGCACCCAAGTTCTTTGATTCAGTGTTCAGCAACATGCTTGCCCTGACATCTCTTCATCCATCTCAGCATGGCCGTTCATTCTCGTCATCATGAACGTTGCCTGCCCGTAGCTCAAACATGAGCCGTTCAGCCATGAGAAAGGCGCGATTCAGTCTGTTCAGCGACAAAGAATCGGCGTCGTCGTCGTCGATGGAAGGCACACTGGATCAAGTCCTCCTGCGGTTCATAAGGCATCACATTCTGCTCTCGATCCCGAGACTCACCTGCCTCTACATCAAATCTAAGCCGAATACCGTGTAGCCAAAATCAGCTCTACTCGTACTTTTCATTGCTCTTTCGACAGTGTCATCTACATCCATTCTTCGCTACCTTCTTCTTGGAGACTCTTCTACTATCACTCATAGCATATCGTACGTACGCATCATCATGTCTACAGCTGCCTCCGAGACGCAGCAGCCCGTCGACGACACGGCCGAGTCCTCGTCCAAGTCCCAAGAGCCCATCTTCGTCCCCCCGCCCAAGAGCCGTGAAATGTCCACCCGCTCCAACAGGTCGAGGTCTAGCACGATGAAGGACCGCATGCTCGGGCTCTCCATCGCCTCCCTCCGCGAGCCCGAGCTCTCCCAGAGAATGTTCCGCCTGGTCAAGGCCACGAGGGACGTCGGCAACGCGTACGAGACGGCGGGCCAGCGGCGGGTGACGGTTGCATTGCAGCTCGCCGACTGGGGCGAGCAGACGGCCGACACGGCCATCAGCGACCTGGCCGACAAGGTGGGCGTTATTCTTACGGAGATTGGGGAGCTGGACAAGAAGTATGCAATCGCGGCGGACATTGCGCGCACTCACCTCAAGCTGATCCGCGACACGGAGAGGAGCGTCCACCCGAGCCGCGAGGGGATGCAGCGAGTCACAGACGAGCTCCAGAAGATCATGGCCAAGGACCCCCAGAGCGACCGGGTCGTCATGCTTGAGCAGGAGTTTCAGAGGGCAAGGGCTAAGAATCTGGTCGCCGAGGCGCAGCTGACCAACGTTGTAAGTGGTGACATGTCCTCCCCCTTTTTTTTTCTTCTTGTAAATGTCTAGGAAAAAAGCTCGATGGCTGACTCGGCTTCTACAGACTCGCCAGAACTTCAAGGAAGCATACCGGAAGGAGTTTGACGCAGTCATTGAGCGCGCCGAGAAGCAAATCATCATGGCCCGGCACGGTCACCGTCTTCTCAGGCTTCTCGACTATGAGGCGGTCCCGCCAGGAAGCGTTCCCGAGCCCTACACGGGCGATACCCAGGCTCGCCAGATCCTGAACGATGCTAAGGACGATCTCAAGGACTGGACACCCGAGTCCAGGTCTGTAAGCGAGTATGGTTCAGACGGTGAGAGGCATTCGCCAGCGCCCAGCGGTTAGGCAGTGCTGTGAGGTGTGCTGAGCCTCTACTTGATGGTTGGTCATGAGAGGTTTTGTTTCTACTATTGTTGCTGTGGGATCTGGCTGCTCTTGGATTATTGTAATGGGGTTTTGCCAATGCTTTCGGGGTTCATCTGTTTTATACATGAGTTACTGCGTCTTGATAGTCTGGTCCGTTGGGGCTCTTGATTGCATATCTAGTGAGTACCAATGATGGAAATGGTTGCCTTTGTATTAGTGGACTTGTTTCGTCCCTTTAGTCTTTGAGCATGGTGTTATTCGATGATACAGGCTGAGGGAGCGTTTGAGTGTAAAATGCATATACGTCCTTGTTTGTCTAGGGTAAGGCGAGATCCAAGAGGAGCATGGGCGTCGGTGCCTAAATCTCACTGCGTCAAGTACATGTTGTGAATGCATCTGAACTTATAAGGATGATGAGCTCGGTGATTCGACAGATATGGCAATGTATTAGTCCGTTGTGAGATGATGTTATAATACTACAGCGAAGCCTTGCGACCACTCTTTAATCTCTCCCGATTCCTTATTGTGATACCACATTGTTCCTCATATAGGTACCTGGTACGGCGCAGAGGGCAAGGCAATTGGATGTTATTCCGCAATGACCCGGCATGTAATTTCACACACAGGATTCTGTCAGAAAATACCTGCCATGATCAGCCTCACTAACACTAGCAGACCCGCAGCAATGACGCCTTAGTCGAGGCCGGTCCATTCTTACCGCTCCTCCGTCACCACCATGGCGATTCGTGTGCAAGGTGCTTTGGTACTCCCAGCCATATTCCCGGCAGCCGTTGGGCAGCCCGGCGCTGGAATTGGCGCCCCTACTGTAATACAGTACGGACCTCGGTCAATGGCGGCCCCTCACCCCAAAAAGACCCGAAACCGCACCTGGACTGCTGGATGTTTCCATGGCCGGGCCTGGGTGGCTCCTGAGAAAAAAAGAGTTGCTGGAGCCCAGCATCTCGAACCGAAAAAAAGAGAAGCGATTCCCAGGTCTTTGACCCATTGGCTCGTTGTTCTCCCTTGCTCCGGGGGTCCGTTGGCAGCAATTGCTCATCGAGATCTTCGTCACAACCTGCAATTGGTTTTTTCTTGTTCAAATCACCCTCGGATAAAAGGCGCCCAAAGCTCATGTTGCTTCATCGACCAGCACTGCAACTCAGGTGGCAGAGCCTGCGTGGTGCAGCCTTGTCATTGCCCAATCGGAGCGGCGCTGTCTGGACCAGGCGACAGTTGTCTGCTGCCTCTGCCACTGCCTCTGCCACTGCCTCTGCCACTGCCTCTGCTGCGTCTGGTGGCACCGACACTGACAGGTGCGCTGCCTCTGCTGGTGCTGCTGCTGCTGAGTCGTCATTTGCTGGTGGTGTTGCTCCGGGTCGCTGCTCTGACGTTGGCCCGCGCAGATCGGCTGGCGGTATTACTACAGGCGCTGACAGCACCGCCGCTGCCCCTATCAGGCCCCCTATCGCCCCCCCTTACAGCGCCGCCACTACCACTGGCACAGCTGCTGCTGCTGCTGCCCTGGCCAGGATGGGTCTCCGTGCCCCGCCCCCTCCATCAGGCCAAAACTCCTCCGCCTCCTCGCAAGCTTCCAAGTCTCTCCAACCCTCCCGGCGGACTGCGCAAATTGCTGCTCACCTCTCCTCTTCACCACCACCCCGCGAGGACTCCAGCGACGCTTCCTCTTCATCCGCGCCCCCAACCGCCACCATGGCCAACTACACCGTTCGCAAGGTCGCCCCCCAGAACACTCTGGAGCACCGCGTCTACATCGAGAAGGATGGCGTGCCCATCTCCCCCTTCCACGACATCCCGCTCTTTGCCAACCAGGAGCAGACCATCCTGAACATGGTCGTCGAGATCCCTCGCTGGACCAATGCTAAGCTTGAGGTACGCTGCTGATTGGGACGTGGGCAATTCGCGGGAGATGGCTTCAGTCGCGGACGACACGTGCTCTGAAGCCGCTCCCGCCTTTTGTTTGAAAACCGACGCTGCTCCTTTTTACCGCGTCTCCTTTTTTTCCAAAGGCATTGCTAACATTTCATCTCGTCAGATCTCCAAGGAGGAGCTTCTCAACCCCATCAAGCAGGACGTCAAGAAGGGCAAGCTTCGCTATGTCCGCAACTGCTTCCCCCACAAGGGCTACCTCTGGAACTACGGTGCCTTCCCTCAGGTATGCGACGCCGATTTCGCACCCTTACCCAACCACCTCAAGGCTCAGACGCCATCGTGATCGTGTGCAACGGCAAACTGACAATTGTCCTGCATCACAGACCTGGGAAGACCCCAACACTGTCCACCCCGAGACCAAGGCCAAGGGTGACAACGACCCTCTCGACGTCTGCGAGATCGGCGAGCTTGTTGGCTACCCCGGCCAGGTCAAGCAGGTCAAGGTCCTCGGTGTCATGGCCCTTCTCGACGAGGAGGAGACTGACTGGAAGGTCATTGTCATTGACGTCAACGACCCCCTGGCCCCCAAGCTGAACGATGTTGAGGACGTCGAGCGTCACCTGCCCGGCCTGCTCCGTGCCACCAACGAGTGGTTCCGTATCTACAAGATCCCCGACGGCAAGCCCGAGAACCAGTTTGCCTTCACCGGCGAGTGCAAGAACAAGAGGTATGCTTCTTCTATTTGTCCCGTACGTGATTCGAAGCTGACAGCAACCCAGCTACGCCATGGATGTCATCCGCGAGTGCGCCGAGGCCTGGGAGCGTCTCATCACCGGCAAGACCCAGCCCGGCAGCGTCTCTACGTAAGTCCACGTCCCCATGACACGTGCCACGTTGAACGAATCAATCGGCTAATTTTTGTTTGCAGCACCAACGTGACTGTCCAGCACTCCCCCAGCCGCGTCGCCCCCGAGAGCCTGCCTCCTCTGCCTCCCCACCAGGACCTCCCCCCTGAGAAGATCGATGCCTCCATCGACAAGTGGTTCTTCATCAGCGGTGCCTCTGCTTAGGTTGCATAATTCACTATGAAAGTTTGATGGCGCCAGTGTATCAAATGTAGTCTTTTGATAGTATACCCTGACAGAGTCGAAGAGGTTGAAAATGAAATCTAAGCTCTGCAGTTAAAGTACAAAAATAAAAAAAGTTTTCCATGACATGATATCGTACAACATTCCGTGCTGCCACTCAATTGGCCTCGCCCAGGCTGTATTCCCGCCCCGCATAACGCCGTCAATGCATTCGAAAAAGTATTATATAGACAAGGAGTTCTTGTGATTATTCGGACAAATCGGCGGCCTTTTGCAGCTGGCGCGAGTGACGGTCGACTTCCTCGATCAAGCTCTTGATGTTGGTTTTGGAACAGTTAAAGTCCATCTCCTTGCCGTCCTCTATAAGAAAAGAAAACCCGGTTAGCTCGCTGATCTTGACCATGCTTCATCCTTTTTCCGATATTGCTTCCTCAACGACATTTCCTTCCCTCTTTGTCGAGACTTGGTCGCGGGGTTAAAGGCAGGACGTACTGAACTTGACCTTTAGAGAACTGCTCTCGGGAGAGTTCCTCGGCAAGAGGCTCGTATGCACAGTCGTCCCGTTGGCGCGAACATTGGGCGGGAGGAACGTCAGGAAGAGGCGGGCGGGCTTTGCGCAGGTCGAGAAGGGGTTGAATTTGGCCGTGACCTCTGTCATGAATTTGGTAATCATCTTGCTTGAATGTAAATCCGGCGGTGAATGGCCCGTATGTTTCGTAATGTATCAAGGCGGTAGTGGTATTAGGATTGGTGAATATGGTTGGCGATTGGTCTTGCTACCTATGTATATGGCTGCGAGGGTGGGATTGCGGGACGCTGAATTGCGAATTTTGGTGGAGACTCGGTATATGCATATTTTTGTAAGCGAGTGTCGTGGCGCACTTGGCCAATGATGATGATGACATGTGGATTTTGTGGCTCTAAGTGTCAATGTCCCAAGCTGTTGTCACAACCAGACATCATAACCACCGTTACTGACCTATTTCGCGCTCCCAGCGCAACCTTTCTGCAGAATGTCGCTCGAGAGCCTCCAGGAGCGGCTCACGGCTCTGCAGGAGACTACCGCGCAACTCAGGGACCTGATTGACCGTTTGGCACATGTCGAGTTCGAGCCGGGGTCTGTCCCCTTGACTATCGAGGAGGAGGGGAGTGTGAGCGGCGAGCTGAGCGCCGAGGCGGGCTTGATGCTGAGGACGTCGCTGGAGGAGCAGCAGCTGTTGTGCGAGGAGGCCAAGTACTTGCGGAGGGGAGGACATGAGAAGGAGAGGCTAGAGGATGGGATTGAGAGGTTGGGGAGCGAGCTGGCTAGGTAAGGACGTTTGGGCTTCCATGGCTCTCTTTGTCTGCTGCATGTGCTGACGAGTTCCGCTTCGTCAATCTTTAGCTATCGAGCGTCACTTCGAAAAGCACGGCTATCTGCAAAAGCAAACCTAGAGCGAGCGCGCAGACAAGAAAGAGAGCTCCTCGTACAATCCCTCGCCGAGGCCGGCTCCGAAACAAACACCTCTGCCGGCGGCAGCGCCGACGATGCCCAGCTGGCGGCCCCGCGACCGCCGCGACACAACTACGCACAGCAACATCATCATCATCGAACACTGCAGTCGAGCCTGTCCGAGGAAGACCGGCAAACGGTCGGCGCGAGCAGCAACGTGACCAACGCCCTGCGCCGAACGCACGCCCTCATCGCGGCGGAGCTGACCAAGAGCGAGTTTGCGCGGCAGACGCTCTCCGAGTCGTCGGCCGCGCTGCGGAAGCTGGACGAGTCGTACACGTCGCTGGACGGCATGCTGGCCAGCTCGCGGGACCTGCTGGGCACGTTGCTCAAGTCGCAGAAGAGCGACACGTGGTACCTGCAGACGGCGCTGTACATGCTCTTGGTGACGGGGGCGTGGCTCGTGTTCCGGAGGCTCCTGTACGGGCCGCTGTGGTGGCTCGTGTGGTTGCCGCTGCGCATCGTGTTTGGGGTCGGGACCAAGGCCGGGAGCGCGGTGATGCATAGTCGGGGAGGGCCGGGACAGCAGTCTGGGACGGCGGGGACGGTGCTGGATGGGGAGATTCGGGTGGATGGGATGCCGGATGAGAGCTTGCCGACTGCAGTGGTTGGAGGGGAGAGGAGAGTGGTGGAAGAGGGTGGGGATGAGTCGATGGTGGACAAGGTTGGCAAGATTGTGGATGCAGTACGTGAGGCGGATGAGTTGGGTTCGATACCTGGGGAGGTGGAGGATACCTATGTGGACGCGTTGGAAGGCGAAGAAGCAGAGGTTGTCGTAGAGGATTCACGTTCCAGAGACGAGCTATGAGCGGACTTGAACGCAGAAATATAGTATAAGAAAGGTTGAACAATCATCAACCAACTTCCTGACATTGTATAAAGATGTCCAACGCGGGCTGTTTCTACAGCCTCTTGAAAACTCCAATCTACTCCCAAACGGCCTATCATCAGATTCACTCATTCTTCGTCACTCGCTTGCTTCATGTCCTTTGAGGCGCAATCTGGGGGATGTTGCTGATCCAAGGGAGCCCCAGCTGGTGCATCTCAACCGCCAGCTGGAAGAGATAGTCGAGGCTTTTGAAGGAAAAAAAAACAACATCATCAGTACAAGCTCTCCACAAGTACGAAACCCAACCGTCGTTCATTGAGCAAAAAACTCACCTCTCGCACTGCGTCTTCGCCTTGTGCACATTATCCCCCCAAACATACACCCCATGCCTCCTCACCAGCACGGCATACGTATCCGGGAACTCGTCCATTGCCTTTTCCAAATACTCGGTCAAGTCCTCCTCATGGGGGGTATTCTCAATCACGGGGATCCTGAGGGTATCATGGTAGCCCAGGTTGCCCGTCTTCTGGAAGCCCCTGCCGAAGCCTTTGATCTGCTCAATGTTGTTGATCTCAAAGACGGAGCTGTTGCTGTTGTTGTTGGCCTTTGCCTCGAGCAGGAGGGTGACGAGGACGGCCCAGTGGGAGTGGGTGTGGATGCAGCAGCCGGCGTTGCGGCGGGTGAAGGCGGCGAGGAAGAGGGGCGTGCACTGGGAGGGCTTGTAGACGGGCGGGGAGCGGAGGTAGGTCCGCTGGAGCTGCTGGTGGCGGTTGGAAGGGTCTTGGGCCTTGAGGGAGAGGACGTAGATGTCGGTGGGCTTCATGAGTTCCTTTTGGACGCCTGAGGGGGCGAGGTAGACGAGGTCGCTGGGGGGTGGTGGTTAATGTTAGCCAATGGAATGGGGAGTATGGGATGAGTGAAGCTTTGATTGATCTGAATATATATATATGTAGAAGTGTGTATAGATGTGTAAGTGAATGAATGTGTAGCTATATGGCCCTCGGATGGTGTTGCTCGTTTCTCACCTCACTCGAGATGAGATGGATGAGAGCTCATCTCAGGGCCACCACAGCGCCCCCGATGAATATGTTGGGTAGAGGGATGGAGTCTGTTGACAAATACAAAGCAAAAAGGAAAAGGTGCAATTACTCGTCTCTAATGGAGCATCCTCCGCCAGTGCCTGTAACCCATCCCAAGGTCCAGAACTTGGCGCACAGCGAAGGGATGAGGTTGGCAGGGTGCTCCGGGTCCGAAGACGTGATGAGCTGATCGGGGTTGTCGACAGGCGCGGCCATTGCGATGCCGTGGACTCTATTATCTTAGAAGGAAGAAAGAAATAATAAATAATGCCAAGATTCAATACCAGTATGCAACGGATGAGATAAATTTGCCCTTCTTTAAGAGATCTAGGTAGGTGGTCTGTGTATGGTATATTGAAGGTGATGGCACAAGGTGAGGTCGTGCCCCTCGTTAGTCATACAGTTTTTTTTCTGCTTGCCCCTCCATGGCCGACAAAATGACGAGCTTTTATTACGGGTTGCAGGCTGGGAAAAAAAAAACGTGGGAGCGGGCAAGGCAGGGCCACTTTATCGCACGATCTGGGTTCAAGGCTTGCAATCACGATAAGATTGGATCGGATCTCGGGGGTTGTCAAAAGCGATTCTCGAGATTGAAGCTGCCTTACATATTGACGAATGGAAAATTATCAGTTTATTGATAATGCACTGGGATTGACCATCTTCTTCCAGAGTAATTGTATGTCAAGTGCCTTATAGTATTGCATTTGATGGATTGGTACATACATACTTGATATCACCTTACAACCGCTTCTTGGTGTGACGGGCGTCGAGAGAGCAGCTCGTCTCAATGTCTGATCTAGTTGGCTGAAGCTCGCCATCTCTTCCATGCCCTTATGTAAGCACACCACCATTCCGTCTATTAACGTGTGTCTGCAATTTCAAGCTCCTCAATTCGATGCTACCATTGGTTCATCCTCCCGCGCGTCGCCCTCGCGTCTGACCTCCTCCTAGCGCTCTCTCTTACCAAGTGGCACGAGTAGCAGCGAGAATTGAGGACAGGAACAGGAGTTGTCCCTCGCAGGAGATTTAGTTGCTTTCTGCTTCCTTCCTTTATTCATTCAACTTCTCGAGAACTCGTAGTACTACCTAGTACAGACTGTCTCAGACACAAGTAGGGTCGAGTTTGTCCTGAAATTACGGGCTCGTGAACCTGCATCATTAGTGCCGGCACGATGACCGACCTAAACTGCTGCAGCTCCCCAGGGGGGGGGGGATTCTCTTCTCCGACAAGAGAAGCTGAGAACCTCAAGTCGGTGAGACCGTTCATCTCAGCTCTCTGGGCAAGCTTGGCGAGGCCTCAACAGCTGAAAGTGCTCGTAACATGGCACGGATGGGGCCAACTGCCACAAAGCACTACCTATACTAGTAGTATTCCCCTCGGATAGCCTCAAAGGGCTCCATCAGGCTGGATACGCGCAAAACGATCTTTCACAGCAATCCCGTAAGCCTCCGTGTTTTGTGGAAATTAATAGGTACCCATTGATCAAGCACTCGACTGCTAGCACACACCTAGGTAGGACAGCGGAACATCGCTGGCCTCTCCCCCCCGTAACATGTAGTACCTTAGTACTTGGCATGGCTTTTCAGCTACGCAAGGAGCAGATGGTCCTCATCTTTACCAGGGTCAACTACATAGACTCGAGCAGGTCAGCTTGGACCAGTCCGCAAGCTGGCATTGGACGACCTAGACAACAGGCCGTTGCCCCCCCTCCCAAGCCTCCCTCCCTCCCTCGCTCGGAATCTTGCCCCGTCTGGCAACGGCGCATTGCATCGATCGCCAATGGTGCCCTCGTATTTGCAAGGGAAGTTTTGCTTTTTAGGCCCAAGCACCAAAAGGGCACAGTATCAGACCTTGGGTGCGACACTGGGCCGGCCTTGTACCTGGCCCGTCAGCGCCAGACTCAGCACACTTGGACGCGGAAAAAAAAACGAAAGGCATCGCCAGCAGATTGAACCCCTGGGCGTCTCGGAGGCACACAGGCTAATGGGCTTAGTATTAGTCGGCCGGGGTGGGTGGGCACAAGGGCCAGCAGCGAGACGCTGTGCCTTTTTCTGCGTGCTTCTCGAGGATTGAGTTTGCCTGGTGCTTGCGCCGGTGCCAAAAAGATGGCATGCCTAGGTACTATTACTTGTAAGAGGGCGAGGAGGTGGCGGTTTCTGCCCCCTTTTCCTCTTGTCTTGGGGGGATGTGATGATGACTCCCAATCTCTATATCGAGTACATAGCTGGAGCTGTAAGGCATCAACAGCAGTCCCATGTTGCTGCATGTCGGTGCGGATGTGGATGTTGATGCCGCATAACATAGCAAAACACAACACAACACAACACAACAAACAACAACCGACCCATCTCCATGTGACGAATTCCAATCGGCGATCCCCTCCAGAGCCCCGACCTGAGCCCGGATGTCTTAGTCACTAGTATTGGACGTGAGCGCACCAACCAGACAAAAAGAGGCCCGCTCTGGTGCCGCTTCATGCCCCTGCAGCCACTAGCCGAATGGAACAAGAGAGAGAGAGAGAGATAGAGACACGACCGCGATGGTGTTGATGGGGAGTGGCCTGTTGCGAGGGGCGTCTTTTTTCAGTTCCATGCCATTGAGTCCATGGATCGAGCAGTGGCCATCTGTAACTGCGCTGTGTAGCTACCCAGGCCAGATGGGAATACTGTACAGCGATGCAGGATTCATCTCAAACAAACATGTACGCAGACAAAGCTGAGGTCTCCGTCTCTGGCATCAACATCAACGAGAATTGGGCGCATCGAGAGGCAGCTGGAATCACGGCCGAGCCTTTCCTCGTCTCCCTCCCCCCCCAGTCAGCGGTTCCACAAGAACCGCACACAGCCTCTTTCCTGGAGCATTAGCCCGGGCGACCGAATTGCCGAGAACCAGAAAAGAAAATCATGACCGCATCGCACAGCATCAGACACGAGTCGGACGGGCATCAGCAGACTGGCAAAGTTGGGGTACATGCATACATACCGATGGATCACAGATGATGGATGCTCGGGATTGGGACAATGGGGGGAGGAGAAGATGGCAAAAGACGTTTGAGCCGCGTCTAACGCAGAGGCGATCGACAACGCCAAAAAATACGATACGAGCCCCCTCGATGTGTGTACGAGCTGCAGCGGCACACGGGAAGACAGCAGAAGACGAGCGCCACACATCAGAACGCGCCGAGACCTTTAATTTGGTCTCATTGTCGCTTTTCTTGCTGATCAGCATGATGGGACTTTCTTTCAACGTTGTGCGGAGTAATAATACCTACTCGTATGGAGGAGTCCTGCTTGCATGCATGTATACTATGTAGTTGTACCACCTCTGCTACAGCTGTCGGGACGGCACATTTGATTGCAGAGATGCATCCTGTTGCGCCACGCAATCAAACCCCCGTTGCCGCACCGGCAGTGACACAAGCCCAGCCGGAGAGAAATCAACGACCCAGCGGATGTAGAACCCGCAGAGGAACCCGCAGAACGTACGAGAGACCACGGCTGCTGCAGTGCCATCAACATCATCATCATCACCATGACAGAGAAACAGCATCAACCGCCGGTGGAAATCAAACATCCCATGTTTACATGGTTCCCCGTCATTGGCCCAGTCAAGGTCGCCAAACAACACATGAAAAATCCCAAGCAAGCAAAAGCAATGCAATGCTCGGGTGGAGCCTCTCAGACAAAGGCCGGGACAGGCCCTCGGGCTTGTTGTTCCCTCATCCCTTGAGTCTTTCTTCCATGCGGGCCAAGGCACTACTACCAAGGTTACAAGGTACTCGTACTTATTCCCCCATCCCATGGCCGGTACATGGCCCGTACTGTGCGCGGAAAGGAAACGGGCCAGGGCGGAAAATAGGACGGACACCACCACCAGAGAGAGAGACGCCTGGAAGCCATTGGATTGGTTGCTCCTCCACTCCGCGCGACCATCTCTGGCGTACCTACTTGTATTATTGCTGCTACGCGCCTGGCGCTTGAGAATGGAGCAAGTGAGCAGTGAGCAGAGTACCTATTAAAGGGAGATGTCCTGCTCCTCCCCCCCGAGGCGCGAAGCTCCCTTTCCCTCTCTTCTCTCTCCTTCTTTCCCCCCAGCTTCGATCTCTATTTAAGTCTCTCGCTCAGCTCGGAACGCATCGACACTCGTTTTAGTGCTTTTTGCAACTAACAACAACATCGTCAACACTTCAGCGGCTACTGTATTCACTTACTCGCGTCTTTGCTGTCTTACACGCAAAAGAACAAAACAAGCTCAACTCGCTCACGCCTTTTTTGAATCACACCCAAAACCGTCACAATGCGTTTCTCCATTGTCCTGTCCGGCCTCTTCGCCGCCCTGGCTGCCGCCCAGTCGAGCTCCAGCGCTGCCCAGGCCCCGTCCGGGACCCAGTCGCTCAGCCCTGCCCAGGCCTCTCAGGTTGCCTGCATCAAGGCCTGCAAGGCTGGTGACGTTGACTGCCAGGCTCACTGCATTGCTGTATGTTTCTGAAAGACTTCCCTCTCGCCTCTCATCAGCAGACCACTAATACGGACCTCGCAACAGGTGCCCTCGCCCAACCAGTCCCAGGTCAACGCCACCACGCAGTGCGTCGCCAAGTGCCCCCAGGGCAACGGCAGCGCTGCCCAGACGCAGATCTACAAGACGTGCATTGACAAGTGCATCAACGACCACTACTTCGTCACCTCTGAGGGCACTCCCCAGGCCACTGGCGCCCCCGGCAACGACAACCAGGCTTCGGGCACCGCTACTGACTCTGCCGCTGCTCCCACGGGCACCGACAGCTCCGCGACTGACTCCGAGTCCACTGGCACCGCGACTGGCACCGCCACCGGCACGTCGACTCGCACCAGCACCTCTACCAGGACCAGCTCTGCCTCTGCTAGCGCCACGACCAACGCTGCTCCTGCCATGATTGCCTCTGGCGGTGCTCTGATGGGTGTCTTTGCTGCCCTGCTGGCTTTGTAAGCCACACCTAGTCCTGAGTGGCTTCGCAGATGCTGTCTGCTTTTTTTTTTACAAGTTCTTGTTCCAGGTTTGGGTTGGGCTAATGGAAGGGGTTTAATCTTGTTTAATGGTACTAATGATGGAGATTGGGTGTATTTACCTCGAGTTTGATATCCACGGTGAATAGCGTACCTAATAAAGTAGCGTTGGAACAGACGACTGCTTGTGCCTTGGTGAACGTGATGGTTCAGACGGACAATGAGTGTTTCTTGTGACGGTCATCATGATGGCTTGTGCACAGGTGCTATGGAGTCGTGTGGAGAGACGTCATGGAATGAGTTCCAACTGATTCGATGGAAGTGAGGCATGGGCCATGAACAGACCCTGCGCAGATCGCAGACGTGCTCCTGAAATGATTTGCCCATCATCAATCGTATAACCTGGGCTTGCATCTCGTATTGTATTATAGCAGCACGTCTTTGCACGCGCAGTTGCGTCTTGCATTTATAAACACGTGCAGATGTGAGTTGATGCAGATGCTGACGGCATATCGTGTGTTGGAATACAGACCGAGTCAGAACACAAGCTGTTTGGTGCTCGATTCATGCTCGCCAATCCCCTGGTCTCTATAATAAGTGGTGAATACCCAGCAGCCAATTTAGCGCCTCGACGCCCGTCATAGTTGACGGGGCATCGCTGGCCTACACGCGCATAATCAGATGCACAGCATCGATGTGCTGGGACTACGTACTAACTCTTAGGCTTCCCCATGCCCGTCTTCTTCCTCCAGATGAGAAAATAAAGAGCAAAGATGGACTGAAGTTAATATTGTTCGATCGGGATGGAGGGCCTTTGGACAGTCAGCATCGAGATGTGGCTGTGGCGCAAGGGTTGCAAGTTGGATATGTGGCATCTTCTGTTATCTGCGCGCGTGTAACAGCATGCATGCATGGTTCCTCTTTTGCTATAATACCCGATTCTAGTATTCCGTTGACCTTCCGTGTAGTACGCTTAAAATCTCACGGGTAAAAAAAGAGGCTGATGATGCCATTTGTGGTGGAACACCCATGCACCATGTGTTGATAATACCATGCAGGCTCAATTGGGGTTCTCCTCAGCAGAATGGATAATATGGTTTCTTCACCATCCAAGTGTGCTTGTTGACATGTGTCTCTTTCGTCTCCCTGTTGTTCTTTATGGGTTGAGCTCTTTGTCCGCACGCAATTGATGCCATCACCGCTTCTCTCTCTCTCTCCCCTCTGTACTACTTTTACATAGCAACCAGATAGCATTAAGAAGGCCCACACGTGGGCTGTAGCCGGCGCCATAGTATTATGATCAATCAAGGCCCATCAGTCTCCATCGTGAGGATCAATAATAGCAACAATCCCCCTCCCCAAAAAAAATTAAGCCGGGATTCTTTCCATTGCTTCTCGTCTCTTCCATCCGACACAGAGTACGTACCTGGCCTTAAGCCCAGGCTGGCAACTGGCAGCTCGGACCCCCGCATCGACCTGCCGTTTAGTCGCTAAATTGACACTTTGCAAGGTCCCGCGGCAGCTGTTCCATATTATGTATTCAATTTTCGGCGACCAAGTTTGAGCTTCTAGTTCTACGTGTCCTCAAGGCCTGGCCAACAAGCTGCGCAGCCTCTCTCTCTCTGTCCCCCGCGACCTTCTTCTTCTTCTTCAGCGGCCAGCCGTGCGACTTCTTCCCGATCATCATCTTCTTCTTCTTCTTTTCTTTCCTCGACCTCCAACATTCAAAGAGGAAGACAACAACAACAACAACAGCACATAGGACTCGAGGGCTTCTCCCTTCTCTCCTTCTCAACCGCTGGCACTGCCCTGTTGGCATCACTTCTCTCCCCCACCGTCAGGTTTTCTTTCTTCCTGAGAAAACACCCGCTAGTATACCCTTTTTCTTTCTTCTTCTTCCTCTTTGCATCTTACTGCTGCAAAACGTTGAACTTTGCGACGCTTCTTCTTTCGCCATGAAGTTCAACACCGTCGCGGCCGCTGCGGCTCTGCTCGCTGGTGTCGCGTATGCCGAGGACGTCGAGGAGTCCAAGGCAGTCCCGGAGCTTCCCACCTTTACTGTGAGTTTGCCCTCTCTTTCATCTTTGGAAAAGGACCCAAATGTTGGCGCTTGGCTCCAGCTTGGAGCAAGCTTCTTGGACGACGGGATATCATGAACCGCTGCTGACAGTTCCCACCAATCGCTTAGCCCACCTCCATCAAGGCGGACTTCCTCGAGCAGTTCACCGACGACTGGGAGTCCCGGTGGAAGCCTTCCCACGCCAAGAAGGACACCAGCGGCTCCGACAAGGACGCAGAGGAGGAATGGGCCTACGTCGGCGAGTGGGCGGTCGAGGAGCCCTACCAGTACAAGGGCATCAACGGCGACAAGGGCCTCGTTGTCAAGAACCCTGCCGCGCACCACGCCATCTCGGCCAAGTTCCCCAAGAAGATTGACAACAAGGGCAAGACGCTCGTCGTGCAGTACGAGGTGAAGCTCCAGAGTAAGTTTGGCCTCTGCAACTCCCCCGTGATAACCAAAGCGAGATGTGGACATTGTGCTGACCTATACGCTTCCAGAGGGACTGGACTGCGGCGGTGCCTACATGAAGCTGCTGCGCGACAACAAGGCTCTCCACCAGGATGAGTTCAGCAACACCACCCCCTACGTCATCATGTTTGGCCCCGACAAGTGCGGCCACAACAACCGGGTCCACTTCATCGTCAACCACAAGAACCCCAAGACTGGCGAGTACGAGGAGAAGCACCTCAACTCGGCCCCGGCCGTCAACATTGTCAAGACGACGGAGCTCTACACCCTCATTGTCCACCCCAACAACACCTTCTCCATCAAGCAGAACGGTGTCGAGACCAAGGCCGGCAGCCTTCTCGAGGACCTGAGCCCTCCCATCAACCCTCCCAAGGAGATTGATGACCCCAAGGACTCCAAGCCCGACGACTGGGTCGACGAGGCTCGCATTCCCGACCCCGAGGCCGTCAAGCCCGAGGACTGGGACGAGGATGCGCCCTTTGAGATTGTCGACGAGGAGGCCGTCAAGCCCGAGGACTGGCTCGAGGACGAGCCCACCACGATCCCCGACCCCGAGGCCCAGAAGCCCGAGGACTGGGATGACGAGGAGGACGGCGACTGGATCCCTCCCACCGTCCCCAACCCCAAGTGCGAGGACGTCTCCGGTTGCGGCCCCTGGACCAAGCCCATGGTCAGGAACCCCAACTACAAGGGCAAGTGGACTGCTCCTTACATTGACAACCCTGCCTACAAGGGCGTCTGGGCTCCCCGCAAGATCAAGAACCCCGACTACTTTGAGGACAAGACGCCCGCCAACTTTGAGCCCATGGGAGCTGTAAGTTTCGTTCCTTTACCAAGACCTTCATGACGCTCGATTGCTAACCAGTGCTCGACAGATTGGCTTCGAGATCTGGACCATGACCAACGACATCCTCTTTGACAACATCTACATTGGCCACTCCATTGAGGATGCCGAGAAGCTGGCCAACGAGACCTTCTTCGTCAAGCACCCCATTGAGAAGGCGCTTGCCGAGGCTGATGAGCCCAAGTTTGACGACACCCCCAAGTCGCCCTCTGACCTCAAGTTCCTCGACGACCCCGTGACCTTTGTCAAGGAGAAGCTTGACCTGTTCCTGACCATTGCCCAGCGCGACCCCGTTGAGGCCATCAAGTTTGTTCCCGAGGTCGCCGGTGGCATTGCCGCCGTCTTCGTCACCCTGATTGCCATCATTGTCGGTCTGGTCGGCCTTGGCTCCTCATCGGCCGCCCCCAAGAAGGCCGCCGCCACTGCTAAGGAGAAGGCCAAGGACGTTTCCGAGGCTGTTGCAAGCGGTGCCGACAAGGTCAAGGGAGAGGTTACCAAGCGAACCACCCGCAGCCAGTCGTAGAAGAATTGGGTGGTGTTTCCTTTGTCAGAATAGTTTGGGATCGAACAGCAAGGCAGGATGTGGGATGAACAGAATCCATGATACCAACATCCACGGCCAATGTCAGGAAAGAAAGAAAGAAGTAGCCAAAATGGGGGAGTCAAGGGCCAAAACATGATTACTCTAAAGCAACCGTAACACAAAAAAAATGGGAATCGTTATTACTATTTGCTTTGCGATGCTCGTGATGTGCCAAGTAGGTGTGAGGCTGGATACTGTATCAGTCGGCGAGCCGTGCGGGGAACTGTGATAAGGAGGAGGAGGAGGAGCCAATGTGCAGCATGATGAGACTATGTAGAGGCTATAACACGTGGCCAGTAAGCTCTAGACGTCCATTGTGGTTATGTGCAGAGACATTGGGTCGTTTTCATGATTCTCAAGAGTTCAATTGGCATTGGAAGTCTTGAAGAGTGTAGACGACGAGAGTAACTACCTATGATTAGAGCGCGCGCCAGACCGCATGAGGAAAGCAATCTATTGGAGGGGAATCTGATATGAATCGCCAGCGATGATTGACTACTCAGCTGCAAGAGAAGATAGCAGAGATACGTAGTGGGCTTGTTCGGCAATGGAAAGGGGATTAATCACCGGGATCGGAGGAGGGGGATATCGGTAAATCTAGACGATGGGAGGGAGGTCGGGTATAAAGCAGTTAGCACATCTACCTACCTACCTATCTATATACCTAGGTATTTACTGAAGGAGGGTTGCATCATCGGCTGATTCCGTAGAATGACTGACTGCTATTTTGTGTGGAAATAGTCCAATTGAAGACGAGCAACAACGGCATGTTCCGTTACTAACACAAGCCAATGCGTATCCAAGGCCCAAGACGAGGTTGCAGGTAGGTAGTAGTAGTATCAAGTTAATGCTAACACGAGACTGTTTGGTTCGGCATGGAGCGGCATCGGCTTAACGATTGTCAATCCCATCTACCTTATGTCTCAATCTGGGCTTCCCCACACAATTTTGAACCCCCCCAGTAGGTATCTTCAGTGCTTGGGCTTCCCCATTTTTTCGCCTCCTCCCCCACACACGGCTAGGTACGGCCGGGAAGTCGGTTGGGGTTTTGGGCTTGTGGGTGGTGGGTGAGGGAGGATTGGCTGAGAGCAGCAGACCGTGATGCCGACTGGGAGCGGCTGCTGTTATTGTTATATAAAGGACACTGGGGGGGTCTTTTTCTGCCCTTGGTGACTTGTTTCTGTTTTGTGTCCTTGCTTGTTGGGTTTGGTATTACTGATGATACTCGGAGAGGGCAGATTCTGTTGCTGATACTACATCAACGAGCGGCGGGCTTGACATAGTACCTAGCTAACTCTCTTCTTCTTCTTCTCTTCCCCCTCCTCCTCCCACTCCTCCTCTTACAACACTCACGCCCACACAAACCATGCGCCGCCTCCTCTCCGCCAGCGTCTCGGCCACCCCCCGCGGCCTCTCCTCCGCCTCGTCGCCCCGGACGGCCCTCGCCCTGAGATCGACCAGCACAAGAATGTCGTCCCCCATCAGCAGGGCGCAGTCCCTCACGGCCGCCCGCCGGCTGCACGCCACGGCGCAGCAGCTCAAGCCCATGGACGCGCTGGCCTCGACGGCGACCAGCTTCCCGACGACGCACGAGCCGATCCCCGCGGCCGAGGTGCGCAACACGCCCTACTTCCTCGACAACAAGTTTGTCGAGTCCAAGACGGACCGCTTCATCGACCTGCACGACCCGGCGACCAACAGCCTGGTGACGCGCGTGCCGCAGATGACGCTGCCCGAGATGCAGGCCGTCGTCGAGAGCTCCCAGCGGGCCTTCCAGGCGTGGAAGAACACGACGGTGCTGTTCCGCCAGCAGATCATGTTCCGCTACGTGCAGCTCATCAAGGACAACTGGGACCGCCTGGCGGCGAGCATCACGCTCGAGCAGGGCAAGACGTTTGCCGACGCAAAGGGCGACGTCCTGCGCGGCCTGCAGGTTGCCGAGGCCGCCATTGGCGCGCCGGAGCTGCTCAAGGGCGAGGTGCTCGAGGTGTCCAAGGACATGGAGACGCGGACGTATCGCGAGCCGCTGGGCGTGACGGCGGCCATTTGCCCTTTTAGTGAGTTTCTCTTCTTCTTATCTACCGTTCTCTGGAGACGTTGTGAGAAGCTTGTCGGACGAGTTTGTTAACGTGTCGTCCCTCTTCCTACACCAGACTTCCCTGCCATGATTCCCCTGTGGTCCATCCCCATTGCCACCATCACCGGCAACACCATCATCGTCAAGCCCTCGGAGCGCGACCCCGGTGCGGCCATGATCCTCGTCGAGCTGGCTGAAAAGGCCGGCTTCCCCCCCGGCGTCGTCAGCGTCATCCACGGCGCCCACGACACGGTCAACTTCATCCTCGACGAGCCCGCCATCAAGGCCGTCAGCTTCGTCGGCGGCAACAAGGCCGGCGAGTACATCTACTCGCGGGCCTCGGCCAACGGCAAGCGCGTGCAGGCCAACCTCGGGGCCAAGAACCACGCGGCCGTGCTGCCCGACTGCAACAAGAATCACTTCATCAACAGCGTCGTGGGCGCGGCCTTTGGCGCCGCCGGCCAGCGCTGCATGGCCCTGAGCACGCTGGTCATGGTCGGCGAGACCAAGGAGTGGCTGTCCGAGGTTGCGGAGCACGCCAGGGCGCTCAAGGTCGACGGCGGCTTCGAGGAGGGCGCCGACCTGGGCCCCGTCATCTCGCCCCAGAGCAAGCAGCGCATCGAGGGCCTCATTGCCAGCGCCGAGCAGGAGGGCGCCACGATCCTGCTCGACGGCCGCGGCTACAAGAACGAAAAGTACCCCAACGGCAACTTCATCGGCCCGACCATCATCTCCGACGTGACGCCCGACATGACGTGCTACAAGCAGGAGATTTTCGGCCCCGTGCTGGTGTGCCTGAACGTCGAGACGATTGACGACGCCATCGAGCTCATCAACAAGAACGAGTACGGCAACGGCGTGGCCATCTTCACCAAGTCGGGCGCCACGGCCGAGACGTTCCGCAAGAACATCGAGGCCGGCCAGGTGGGCATCAACGTGCCCATCCCCGTGCCGCTGCCCATGTTTTCCTTTACCGGCAACAAGAAGTCGATTGCGGGCGGCGGCGCCAACACGTTTTACGGGCGGCCCGGCATCAACTTTTACACGCAGCTCAAGACGGTGACGGCGCTGTGGCAGAGCGCGGACGCGGTGGCCAAGAAGGCTGCCGTGCACATGCCCACGCTGCAGTAGGCGTTGAGATGGCGTGTATATAGAATGAAGAGTGAGTGTGTTGGTTGATGAGGGCCAAGAAGATGTCGTGTCATAGCGATGGACGGGGCATATGAATGAGCACCTAGCATGTATCTATGAATTGTATATAACGTACCTAGTTCACGATATCATGGGCTAGACAGCACGAGATGCCTTGAACGACAAAATTCACATTGAACCATCAAGTCCAGCGCTGATTGAACGTTTTATGTTGATTATTTATCCGACTATCCTCGTCAAATCCTGTTAATCATGCGTCGTTCCAGCGTGATGGATGTCACATGTCACGCTCGCCTTAACACCGCTTCCACTCGTCTTAATCATCTACATCACCAACCTGCATCAGCCAATCCCTCTTCGTTGCATCTATCTTTTCTTTCCCTTCAACATCATCATCATCATCATCATCATCAATCTTACTTCACCCGCATTCCAACCAAGCAAGCCATCACCAAATCAACCCCCCAAACATGGCCCTCTCCCTCACAGACCTCCCCTACACAATCTTCACCACAATCATCACCCACCTCTCCCCGACCCAAACCATCCTCTGCCGCCGCCTCTCCCGCGCGTTCCTCTCCGCCCTCACCCGCGCCGACCTCTGCATCAGCCTCATCCTGTGCCACTTCCCGCGCTCCCTCGAAGGCCGCCGCCTGCGCACGTACCTGAAGACGGGCAACCTCGCGGCCCTCGAGAGCGGCGACTGGGCCGCCGTCTTTGCGAGGCTCGCCCGGCGGTACTATCATCTGGGCAATGCCCTGCCGTGGAAGGTCGAAAAGGTGGCGGTGTTGAAGGACGAGGAGGTGCTGAGGGGCGTTGAGCCGTGGGATCGGCATTTGAGCCTCAATGGCAAGACGGCGGCGTTTCACTTTTGGGATCCGGTCTGGACGGTTGCGCCCAAGGAGGGATTGTTGGTGTATCCGGCGCCGTCGCCGTCGCCGTCGCCGTCACTGCTCGAGGGAGAAGACGATGACGACGACGATAAGGGTGCGAGTGCTGGAGGAGCAGCAGCAGCAGCAGCAGCCAGGTATTGTTATAGGGCGAGGGATCTACAGACGGGGAGGGAGGTTGATGTGCCGTTTGATCTGCGAGGCAGGATCGTGAGGCGGGTGCGCATCAGCCATGGCGTTCTCGTCTTTGAGTGGTGCGAGCGGGAGCCTCTTTCAAGCAGCAGATCGCTCGTCGGCGGCGGCAATGAGGAGACGACGACGACGGAGGAACGAGTGCATCGACATTATGCGACGGCTTACTCTGTCCGGAGAACGGGGTCCTGGGACGGCGTCATTCCTCGGCGGCACACAGATGCTGGCGTTGCCCATGATGGTTCGTCCGAGATGCCGACTTGTTCGTGGGAGTTTGAGTTGTGCTGCGAGTTGAAGATTCATCCCGTCGGCCTGTCCCTGGATCATCACGACCGCTTCTTTTCGACGCACAACGCTACGCACTACGCCGTTTACACCTGGCAGCCTCCTCCTCGCAGTTTCGACGCTGCATGGCCCGACGATGAACCCCTCGAGAGCCTCACCATCTGGGAATTCAACCCTCCCAACTCTTACTCTCAACGCCCAGACGCCGCATCATCATCATCACCGCCCACCACCAGCTCCCCACGCATCATCCGCACCCTGAACAACGCCCAGCTCCGCGCCTTCGCCATCCTCCAGCACGACGCCCCCGCCCTCCGCGCCATGGCCCTCGACGACAGCACCTGGGACGCCGCCCGGGCCTCCGCCTGCGGCCACGTCTTCTTCACCGAGGAGGAGCACCGCTGGTCCGCCGGCCCGCACAGCAGACCCAGCCGGCCGCGCCTGCACCGCGTCAAGACGACGGGGATTCCGCTCGTCGGCGCAGGGCCGCGGTGGGTGGACGACTGCGGAGGGGGAGGGGGCGTGAATCTGAGGTTTTGCTGGAGGGGCCGCTGGAGGAGGGACATGACGGAGATGGAGGAAGACGAGGACGATGACAACGACGGGGATGGTGAGGCTTCAGTAGGGGGCACTGATGATGATGATGATGGTGACGATGATAAGAAGAGAGGCATCTGGTCTCCGGAGCGAGCGTGGAGTCACTCCCAGACATGGCCCGGCCGCGCACCCTGCTGGCGCCACGACGACTTCCCCTACGTCACCCTCTCCGAGGTCTTTGACGCCGCGGCGGGCGTGAGGGTCATTGCGAGGGACTGCTTCATGCTGGAGACGCTCTCGGTGCACATACGCCCCAAGATCCGCGTCCAGGGGGTCGGCCCGAACGGGGCCAAGCTCGTCTCCAGACGGGCCTCGTCAGGCACAGACACCAAGAAAACGACGAGGACATTCACTAATACAGCAACTCCCTCTCCGCAAATCGTGAAGAACAGCACTACTACTACTGCTATTACTGCGGGTGAGAGGAAAAGCACAGCTACTATTACTAGCAACACAGCAGCCCGCACGAGCACGAGCACGAGCACGACGACGACGACCCAAGGCCCAGACGGGCATGAAGTCCAGTTCGCAGACGCCATGTGGTCCGAGATGATGGGCAAGGGCTTCATCTGCGGAGACGAGCGCTGGCTCGTGGGCGAGGACATTGCCAAGGGCGATGTAACCATTCTCGTCTTTTGATGAGAAAAGCGCCCAAAAGATTGATAAATAAATCAAGTACGTAAAAGCAAAGAGGTATAGTACTAGTAGCAGCAAGCGTTGAACAAATCTCAGTTTTACTAGAAAATCTTTAATCTCACGTCAGGAGAAACAGCCGGAATGGCCTCATATTGCAGTTATTTTCCCAAACAAACCCAGGTCTGCCATGTCATTGAGAGACGGAAATGCAAGGGGCATACCCGTAGAGCTCTGAACGAAATGAAAAAGCATCACGTTAGCAGAGGTCACGTTCCACAACCGCAGCTAATCAACAGTACGAAAAAAAAAAATCACTCAGCGCCTCTCACTCCATCCGTGTGGCCTCACAAACTCGTATGTTTTTTTTTTTCTTGGGCACAGCCTTGGAAATCTCGTTCATGCTCAACGTTTCACATTCAGATCATCTTCTCGTTCATGCTCATCGTTTCCACATTCGTGTACTACCCTTCTACTTGCCTCCACGCTATTCTACATGTTCCCGTGTATGAAAAGGAAATAAGAGACAAAGCAGTGTGCAAACGTATATATAGATACCGTGCTCCGCCTCTGGACACCAACGAGCAACAGCGAGAAGCAAATCATCAAAATCAGTCCAAGATGTAATCAGTCATCAGCATGCCGTCAAACCTCGAGACACGCCGTGTTTCGAACCACCAACGTTCTCCTGCGTCCTTTCGAATAGGTTCCTCCTCTTTTGCTAAGCCGTCTCTTGTCATCTTATAGATATTCATATCGGTTCACTCGGAATCATCACAACCACTTTTACCACCCCTTTCAATTCTGTGGCACCTGCAAGAAGCCGCCATAGTACGAATCCAACCACGCAGCCGCCTGCTCGCCAGCCTCGTCAACGTTGGTGTCCCAACGGCCAACGGAGCCAACGTAGCCGTCGGGACGGACGTTGACAATGGCAACCTCGCTCGGGCCCAGGCTTCCCAGCCACTTGTCGGTGCAGAAGGCACCCCGGGTGTCTAGCTCGGGGACATTGTCGATGTAGACCGTCCAGCGGCTATCCTGCAGCAGTGCGGGAAGATCCGAGATCTCAATCTCGGACTTGGGCATGGTGGCTAGACGCATCATCCGGTCAGCAAAAAAGGTATGGTGCGTTTGCAAAAGGGGGGAGACTGTAACTCACTAATCAGAGCGAATGTAAACAAGTGGCTGACCACGGTATACCTCTCAGGGCGTGTATACACATCCTCGGGGGCCGGCAATCTCGGCTGCTTGGCGTACGATGCGCTCGCGGCGGCAGAAAGCTGGCTCACCAGGGACTTTGGCGTCGCAATGGAGCGGCAGAATGTTTCCAAAAAGGGCCTCGCCTGTATCACATCCCACATGAGGAGGTAGATACGGAACTGGCCCAGCATGGGGATGTCAAGTTGAATGTCCACTGGGTTCGAGTCAATGTACCGCGATACCTTGGCCGGGGGCAAGAGGCATCCCGGGCGAGCGCCACCCAGGATGGCCGAGTTGTCCTCCGGCCGGGTAATGTTGAGGGCGCTCTCGCTGTAGTCGGCGCCGATGCCCGAGATGAAGCGCACATTGGCCCTGAAGTTCTGCGCCATGGCGACGGCATCTCCACCGGCGATGCGGTTGGCATGCTCGTAGTCAAAGTTGACGAGATCCAGGGCAATCTTGCGGCGCTCCACCTCGTAGCTTTCGAGGAGGTTGGGCTTGGCCAGACCACGACACGCCAGGTTGAGCTTCCAGGCCAGATTCCACGAGTCGTGCATGGACGTGTTCATACCCTGGGCCGACTTGGGGGAGTGAGTGTGACTGGCGTCTCCCGCAAGGAAAACCCGGGTGTTGACGTCCGTGAAGCGGCTCGCCACGCGCTGGCCCACCTGGTACCGCCCGAACCACTCAATGTACTTCCAATCCAGCTCAAAGGGCGCCATGATCTTGCGAGCCTGCTGCATGACAAACTTCTGGCCGAGCTCGCGGCGGTCAGCGCGGGCGCTGGCCTTGAGCTCGATGTAGAAGCGCGTCATGTTGCGCTCGCGGGGCACAATGAGGATCGAGCCGTGCTCCTCGGAGTAGACAAGAGTCTTGGACCAGATGTCAGGAAAGTTGGTGATGAGCTCGCCGTCCAGGACGCCCCAGATGTCTGGACGGGACAAGCCCACGGCCTCTACATTGGGCATGTTCTTGCGGACCTTGGAGTGTGCTCCATCGCCTTGGAGTAATCATGTTAGCCGGAACTTTGATATCAGTCTACAAAATACCAGAGATCGACTTACATCCAACGAGGTAATCGGCCAAGATTGTCCTCTTGTCCTGGTTGACATTGGTATAACACCGCACCTGGACCGGCCCGGACTTTGGAACGTAATGGGACTCAAAGGCCGTGTTCCGGCGCACCTCCTTTCCGCGCTTGCGTAGATCGTCGATGAAAAGGCCCTCGACCATGCCCTGATGGACAAGGAGGATATAGGGGTCCAGAACATCAATGACGGGAGGATAATGGACCTCCCGGCCTAGACGATGCAGAGGTGCATCGGCCGTGCTGCGCCAAAAGGAAATGTCAAAGACTCTCACGCCGCGCTGCAGCAGCGGATCAGCCAATCGCATCTGCCGGAACGTTTCAATGGACTTTGGCTGCAGGCCATCCGCGCTATTGTATCACATCAGCTTCCCTATTCTCTTTTCGTAGCGAGGACAATAGTCAAATATGTAGGCAGAAGGCAGGAGTAGAGTCGAATAGAGAAGATCAGTCTCTACATCTACAATCTGCAGTAATGCGTGGGTAGTGCAAAATCAAAGAAATAAAAAAGGGGGGGTGAACATGGCTGTCAAGGCCGGTTGCAAGAAAAGGTGCAATTGGGCAGGATTCTCTGTTGTTTTCTTCGGGGGAGGGCATGAACATACCGACCAACGGGCGTCTGGTCCGCCCTGTCATCGACAACCTCAACATCGATGCCGAACCGGGCGAGGTTCGCCGCCAGCATCAGGCCCGCGGGACCAGCGCCAACTACACACACCTGGCATCTGGTGGGCGGCTCTGGCAAGCTCCGGAGAAGCGCGAGGGGATCGGTGGCATCCTCTTCGTCGACGGGCATTTCCTGGTTGGACGGTCCGGGCTGCTGCGGTTCTTCCTCCATGTGGCTCGGACTGTTGTTCCTCGAGTTTGACGAGGAGTTGACAACGCCCGGCGCCATGGTGTCGGACGGCTCTTGGGTTGATATGTCAGCCAGCGTGAAGGCTCGCTAAGGCGCTGTGGCAAGCACCCGTGCTTCTGTATCGCCTTTCCCTTCGGACGCTGCTGTGCAAAGGGCAGCGGGCAGCCGAAAGAGAGGGTGCTCGCTCCACTGTCCGGGAGCCTGGTTGCTTTTCAATGGGCGGCCTGGGTGCTCGGCTGGCCCAATAATCTCTCGACTTTGCAGCACCTCAGCACGCTGCTTGTGCCCGACGAGGCCGATAGCGATAGACGGTCTCAGTTGTCTCAGGAGATGGGCCTTGAAAGTAGTGGCCGTCTCCACCACACCTCTTTTTCTTCTTGTGACTGCAACTGCAGCGTAACGGCAATGCAATGCGCTCTGGGAGCGGTTGAGGATCCTCTTCGGGGCCCCTTGTCGTTTGTTCGCGGGCTGTTAGAGAGACGAGCGTACACAGCTTGGTGGCGTCTGCTTGCTTGCTTGTTTGCTTGCTTGTTTGCTTGTTCTTGCGTCTTTTCGCCTCTGGCCTTGGTCCCCCCCCTGGCTGCTGCGACGAATTGGATGGATACCGGGGCCCGGGTTGGGGGTCTTCTGGGGGGTCTCGACTTGAATAACGGCAGGATGATGCGACAGTGCAGGAGAGAAGAGTGGTCTGGGAGTGTTGAAGCTGCAGGAGGCTGTACTGTAGGGCAGCGCAAGGAAGTCGATTCGTTCTTGGTCTCAGTGTGTCACGCGGCGGCGTCGAGGCAGACGCTTACAGCACACAGCAGCCCTGATCCCATTTCCCTTGGCTGGACCGGCCGCTGGTTGGTTGTTCGTGCTTGTCCTTCCTCCTCTGTCGTCTTTGCTTTCTATGCCCTGCCTTGCTTTGCTTTGCTTTGCTTTGCTGCTCCGGTGAAGTGGCCGGCGTCGGCTACTTCAAGTAGTTACCTGTCCTGCGTGCGTCTCCTATGCCGGAGCATCAGTACGAGCAACGTTTGGAGGTCCCGAGACGGAGCTGGGGAAGAGGGAGGAATTGGTGGTAAAATAGTTGGCACGGAGCAGAGCTAGCAAGCACCTTTCGTACGAGCAGCAAGCAAAGCAAGCAGCAGATCGTGCCTCTAGCAAGCAAACCGCCATCATGGGCACTGTGCCTCCCAGAGCCTCGACCAAAAGTACTCGCCACGCCAGAGCAGGCCCGGACGGTACCTCCCGCGCACAGGCAGGCAAGCACCAGCCAGGGGGACTGCCTTCCGCAGACGGACGGGCTCAGCGCTCGGGGAGGCTGGAAGGAGCTGCTGTGTCGCGCCTTGCCCCGGTAAAGCCCGACGCACGTACGGCAAAAGTGGCATGACAGACGGCCGTCGTGGACAGCTGTTGAGCGCGAGATCAGCCCATTTTGCCGTCAAGATAATTGCCATTGGCGTTGCACCATGCCCAGGCGCTGGCTTACCGACGGCTTAGCCTCAGTTTGCGCGCTGCTGATTGGCTGCGCCAGCTGCTCCGGAGAGGGCAAGTGGTGCCATTTTGCACCGTGGCCGCGCCTGCTCGAGAATGCGGCTCCACTCCACTCCATCCATCCAAACGGGAAGCGCAGAAAAAAACAGGACGAGACGAGGGAAAGAGTGATCCAGGGCACGAGCCGTCCAGTCTGGAAGGACCCTTTCATGCCCTCCGGATTTGTCGCATGTACTTGTACCTACCACTGTAATAGTACACTCCTACAACGATCAGGCTCTCCGTACCCTTGCTCGCCTTCCATGCTCTCTTGACGATTGATTTTCTTCATCTAAAACCGCTCAGCTGGCGTCGGGCCTCGATTTCTCTTCCTTCTGCCAGGGATGTCCCTCTTTTATTCTCCCGCATCTGCCCCGAAACGGTCGCTTCAGGGTCTTCCCAAACTCAAGGGTCCTCTCGAATTCGGCTACCAAGTACAAACTACCGCGGCCGAGTCAGTGGCTCCGGTTTTGCAGAGAGGAGAAAATCGACGAGCCGCGACCCAAGGCGATACTAGCTGGTAGGAGTAGAGAGAGGCACGAGAGCAGTGCCTATGACACCATAAACCGCCGAGGCATTCCCGTCAGTTTCTGGAGCTGGAACGCAGACACTTGGGCTGGATCGTACTAATAGCAAGACTCGACGCCATGGACAAAGTGTATCTGGTCTTCAAAGGCACAGATGAAGTGTGGCACAGATAGGCTTTGCCAGAGGTGGCACGACGGATGATGTCTTATTGGCGGTAGCCTGCTCTGCACACCAAAGACGGAGAGATTGTCTTGTCCACTCAGAGTGAAGCCCTTTGAGCCGCTTTTCCCCCTACGCCCTATGGCCTGCCATTTTCATGCAATGTTGAACGCTGCCGCGCTATTACTGCAGAGAGGTCACTTGGGGGACATAATATGTCAACAGCCTTGAGTCAGTGATCTGCTACAGGTGTACATACAAAGGCCACAGACCTCACATCATATGTCATCCGGGCGCTCTGTGGATATGGCTGATCCTGAACAAGCAGACTGAGCGAGAGCGAGCGAGCGAGCGAGAGAGAAGAGAGAGAGACTACTGGGACGTCACCCCAGGTAGATATCCGTCCATCTACCACACTAGAGGCACCAAGGGTGCGCGGACGGTATTACGCATGATTCGCCCGTTGACGAAACACCAGCCGTCCCCTTTCCTTCGCTTCCGACACCATCGCGTGATCCAGCTCACTTGCTCATACCATATCGATTCCAAATATACCGCCGATTGGGTGTCGAGGCCTGAACATTGCGCATACCACACATACGACCACACGCATCCAGACAGACAGTCCCCAGTGGCTTGCATGCTACCTTGCCATAATAGGAGCTTGTTCAACATTTTCCCATGGTCAGAAGTTTCATCCGTGTAGAAGGGTTGGGATAGTGATCCTCTGCATATTACAAAGTTACCTTCTAGATTGCTAGCCGTCCGTCTCTGGCCATTGTGGAACGACTCTCAGGTGTCATGAAGCCAGCTTTGCAACCTGTCACATCAGCCCTGGCCCAAACCGGCTTGAATCACTCTCCCCGAACATCGGCATTGTCCATCTTTCTGCATGCTCATACCGACCAGCTGCCTCATTCAGGCCGTGGAGACGGCCTGCACGCTGTCTTTGGTCTCGAAAGGTGCAGCTACATCCTCGATAACTTGGCGTCCTTTAAAGTTCAACATGGATCTTTGGGCCCTGCTTCGAACTCGGTATGAACGCCAGTCCGGGTAGACGCGCACGGCGGGGAGCATCCCTCCAGCTTCTGGCATAACGACCTGACCGCTTCGCCCGCTGAGGATCTGCTTCACGATAGCCTCGGCTACGGACTCGGGCTCCTGCAGAGGTAGCAAGAAGCGCGCCCCCTGACTGTAGCCGGTGAAGAGTGGCGTCTTGGTGCCTCCGGGATGGACAATCACAGTACGGATCTTGGGGGCCTTGTATCGAGTCTGGAGCTCAGCTGAGAGCCCCTCGTGAAACGACATGGCTGCAGCCTTGGACGCGGCGTAGTCGACCATGTTGGGCGCCGTGACCCACGAGGCAAAGGACGAGACTGTCACCACCATGCCGTGGTTCTGTGCTATCATGTGCGGTAGGAACGTCTTTGTCACCCAGAAAGGGGCCAGGGCGTTGACATCAAAGGTGAACCTCACATCCTCGGGCGTGGCATCCAAGATTGTCTTGCCGCGGCAGACACCGGCGTTGTTGATGACAACCGTGGGATGCCCAATCTGGCCGACTACCCTTTCGGCGACGGCAGCCACGTTTGCCGGCGACCTGACGTCGCAGTAGAAGTGGCTGACTCTGGACGCTGCAGCATCGATGGTCAGCCCTGCAATGCAATGCAGCTGGGGTCCGATGGCCACTCCAGAACAGCACGGGGGTCCGACTTACATGCCGCATATGTCATCCGCTGGACGTCCAGCACCACCACCCTGATCTTCAACTCATCTAGCAGCTTCACCATGGCCGCGCCGATGCCGGCCGCGCCGCCGGTGATGAGGACGATTTCCTTGGACCAGTCATACTTGTCGCTGACCCAGTTGTTGCGCACTCTGTCGGAGAACCAGCCGCTGAGCCCGCGCGCTACGGCAAGGTAGAAGAGCAGCTTCAGCCGGCGAGCGGCTTTGGGGTGAAGAATCGAGAGGTCCTGGCCCCTTTTCGTGTAGCGGGCAAGTAGAATCAAGGGTAGGAGGAGATTGGGGTTGAGGATTGTTCTGCGGATGAGCTTGAGGATGACGTCTGCGCAGAAGCCCTCTCGAGGCAGGATACCCTTGTGCATCGGCATGGCGGCTGTGGAATCGTGATACTATCAAGATGCTGTCGTCCTTTGTGCTTGCTACTTGACAGGTCAGAATTGCCGTCAATCTCCCAATACTCTCACAACTCGTATATGGAGAGCAAGATTGATCTGTGCAGTGTGTACGGGGGTTTCCTAATCGTAACGCGTTGCACTTTGTTATAAACGCATGACACCCAGCGCAAAACGAGTCCTACAGGAAAGACGCGACACAATAACGACAAATGATTGAATAGCAAAAGATGGCATTGGTTTGGCATTGCATGGCCGGTTGAGGCTAATCTTATAACACTGCCAAACCCTGCAGGACTAACACCATCTTGGCACAGAGTTGCAACCCCGAGCTGCAATTTGCCGAGGCTTGATCTGATATCACAATGCGGGGAGAAGCACCTTGACGTGCATCTAAAGACGACGAGGGCGAATCGAAGTCTTCTGATGGAATTCTAGAGGTTGCATACGTTTGTCCTATTTCATGCACAAGAGAAGTCTCTCCGCATCAAGTCTGGCGGTTTGGATGCCGTAGACGGCTAAAGGCAAACGAATAGTAAGAGAGCAGCGACATGTGAATCTCTAGTAACTGTTCAGTCATGCTAGGTGGAGAAGCTGGAGGAGGTATTGATTACTTTTGCAGGCCGAACCAGCAAAGTTACCATTTCGAGCAGAGGCCATCTATTCGGCGTTAGTGCGTTGGCGCATGGATCAGCCGTTCCCACTAACAGCGGCCTCGCTGGCAGCAGAATTGCCTATTGCGTCTTGCCGGTTGGACTTGATCCCCACGATTCTCAACCCAGCAGCATCACCCACCTATTAGTACTACAATGTGGAAAAATACGAAGAGAAGCTGAAGAGTCTGGGGACAGAAAGAGGACTATTTGCGGATATCAATTTGCTAATTAGTGGAATTGTTGTTGCTAGCTCGGCATGATGACTGCGGAGGCCGGCGATTCACGAGAGGGCGTGGAGGTGGGAAGTCTTGCATAAAGCCAGAGTTGTCGACTAGCAATCTTCTCTGAAGCCGTCCTGCTGTCCTATTTCAAAACTCCTTCCTCTATTATAGCCTCAGACTACTGCTAAGACCTGCGGTTGCCTCTGGCTCTATTATTACTGAGCATCAACACCCTGAACTATCACCTTCAGTTGTTATAGACAGCCAAGCTCGATAAAGAGTGGGGGAGAGAACTAGCAACAGGGTGGGGGGTGAACCTCAACCTCAAAGAGCCTCGGTGCCGATAGTAATACATACCACGAAAGATATTACACTTACACAAACTCACATCTCATCGCCCTCCCCCCCGCCCACAATGAAGCCCTCACGGCTCTCCCTCCTCCTCAGGCAAACAGCCTCGGCACAACTGAGGCCACGCTCATCTCCTCACCTGCAGCGCCGCTCCCTCAGCGCAGCCGCAGGCTCACACGCCGTCCGGAACCTCCTCCAGGTCTCGAGCGAAGTGGCCGATGCCGTTGCCAACAACAAGCCCGTCGTTGCCCTGGAGTCGACAATCTACACCCACGGAGCCCTGGGAAAGGATCTCGCGCAGGAGCATGAGGACCTGGTGCGGAGCAGCGGCGGCATTCCCGCCATCATCGCCGTCGTTGAGGGTGTGCCGAAAGTGGGCGTCTCGACGGAGGAGATTATGCGGATGATTGAGGATGAGGGCACGGTCAAGGCTTCACGGAGAGACATTGCCTACTTGGTCGGCATGGTAAGTGTCCTCTCACAATATACACTTTTCTTTTTCTTCTCTTTCTTCTTCTTCTTCTTCTCTTGTAGCTGCATTACCAGTTACAGTCATAGCTGATAACCTCATCCAGGGCCTCGCAGGACGCAAGATGAACGGCGGCACAACCATCGCCGGCACAATGCTCCTCGCCAGGCTGGCCGGTATCCGCGTCTTCGGCACCGGCGGCCTCGGCGGCGTACACCGCGGCGGCGAGAACTCGCTCGACGTCTCCGCCGACCTGACCGAGCTCGGCAGGACGCGAGTCGCCGTCGTCAGCAGCGGCTGCAAGGGCTTCCTCGACATCCCGCGCACGCTCGAGTTCCTCGAGACGCAGGGCGCCTACGTGGGCACCTACGCCGACGGGCGCGCCGCCGGCAAGGTCGACTTCCCCGCCTTCTGGGCGCGGGACAGCGGCGTCAAGAGCCCGTCCGTGTACCACTCCGAGAGGGAGGCCGCCGCCATCATCCTGGCGCAGGAGCAGCTCGGCATCGAGTCGGGCATGCTCTTTGCGAACCCCATTGCCGAGGAGTTTGCCATCCCCGCAAAGGAGATGCAGGGCCACATTGACCAGGCCGTGGCCGAGGCCGACCAAAAGGGCTTCACGGGCAGCGCCAACACGCCGTATGTCCTGCAGAGGCTGAAGCAGCTCTTTGGCGACAGGATAGTCGCCGCCAACAAGCAGTTGGTGCGAGCAAACATTGTCAGGGCGACAAACATTGCCGTGGAGCTGTCGCGCTTGCTCAAGGAGGGAACGAGCTCGTAAGTCTTTCTTTAGTTAGGAGGGACATGTCTCGCATCTCTTTCTTTGCTGTTGTAATCGTACTTGTAAGTTTACGTGGATGGCATCTAATCGGTAGATAGAAGTCCATCAGGTCATAAAGTGGCGTTTGGGTCAAAGACTGAGAATAAACCTATAGCTCCTTCGAGAGCAGACTCCAAGGCTGATATCCTCGTCGCTGGATCGGTTGCCGTCGACCTTAGCTGTGATTACACAAATCCCCAGGGAGGTGATGGCCAGCCACACGTCCACACCTCGAATCCGGCCAGTATAAGCCAGTCCATCGGCGGCGTAGGCCACAATGTAGCGCTGGCTGCTCATCGAGCAAGTCGACAAGCGCAAGTCAAGTTCAGCAGCATGGTCGGCGATGATGTGTAGGCAGGCCCCCCTTACGTCTACTCAATCTATAGCACTATACGACTGACACCTCATAGTGCCGGCGCAACGGTCCTCACAGCTCTGGAAGCATCAGGACTCGATTCTACATATGTAAAGAAACTCAATCAAGCAGAGCACCCAGGCAGCCGGACCGCCCAGTACGTCGCCATCAACGACTCAAGCAAGAACCTCGTCATGGCCATGGCAGACATGGGCATCTTCACACAACACCTCTTCCCCGAAGAGTGGAAGTCGGCCATCAAAGCCACAGACCCCAAGTGGCTCGTCGTCGACGGCAACTGGAGCCCCAAGGGCATCAGGACCTGGATTCAGGCTGCCAATGAGCACGGCAGCAAAGTCGCCTTTGAGCCCGTCTCGGTTGCCAAGTCCAAGAGCCTCTTCGGCCCTCAGCGCGGCGTGCCGTCGTTGGGTGTGTTTCCCAACCAGAGCGTTGACCTTGCATCGCCCAACATCTACGAACTTTCGGCCATGTACTCCGCTGCTAAAGAGAACGGCTATTTGGATAGTATGGACTGGTTCGAGGTGATTGATTCGTTTGGTATGCGGGGAGCCAGAGACCGGTTTGTCCGTCTCACGTCGGCCGAGTTGACGGATGCTGGCGTCCCAGTGCAGTCCATCCAGTTGCTGCCTTACATTCCGACAATCATCACAAAGCTCGGATCCAAGGGCGTTCTGTTGACAACCATCTTGGGTAAAGACGATCCTCGACTTCGGGACCGTGAATCTGAAGAGTTCATCTTGACTCGGTCCTATGACGGAAATCCAGCCGTTGGCGGCATCTACATGCGATTGTTCCCACCAGTCGAGCATGTGGAGAACATTGTCTCCGTCAATGGAGTCGGAGACACGTTCCTCGGCGTCTTGGTGTCTGGACTCGCTCAGGGAGGGAGAGTCGATAAGCTGGTTGATGTGGCTCAGCGAGGCGCGGTATATACGCTCAAGTGCGCAGAGTCTGTGAGCGAGGAAGTGTCAAAGCTGGAGAGCGATTTGAAACAAGTTGCATTGTTAAAGTAAAATGAGTTCTGGTAAGAAGAAGAAAAAAGCATCAATTACGTCTAGAAATCAGGCTTCAGTCATCTGATGTGATCTATGCCATGCTGTGAGTTGTAGACTGGAAAATGGTAGCTTGAAGGCGAAACTGAGGCAGCTCCAATCAATACTTACTTACTACTACAATGTCAGCCTCGTCAAAAGTGCCCCACTACCCCCACTTGGGCAGCTTCTCGTCTGCAAGGCTGAGCTCCGGACCCAGAAAAAAATTAAAGAAAAAAAGATCCCATCTTTTTGCAGAGCAGAGCAAATCAGCCGTCGCCGAATCCCTCCCACAACAGCGGAACCAAGTCAGCGAAAATGGCCCAGCCGCAGGATCCAGACTTTTCAGAGGACGAGCTGTCCGAAAACTACCTGTCGTCCGACAATGACTCCGACGACGCCTCATCAAGAAAGAAGCCGGTGGTTGCGATGCAGGACAAGGACTCGGACGAGGAAGACCTGGAACGGCTCGTTTTCGGCAGCAAAGTCAGCTTCGGAGAGAGTCTCTTCAAGAGCGGCAGCCTGATTGGCACAGCAGACGACAAAGAAGGCAAGGAGCTGGAATTGGCCGATGCGGACACCGGCGGCCTGGAAGACGTCGACGATGCCGACCTGTTCATGATCGATACCGCCCCGAGCGGCGCAGTCCCTCAAGCAACAACCGTCACCTCCAAGGCGAAAAAGGCGGAGCACGGCGATCCGGCCGCCTGGGAGGACAGCGACGACGACCGACTGGCAATTTCCCTTGCGAACCATACACGGCTGCGAAAACTGCGACTGACCGAGGCCGAGGACCTCGTGAGCGGCACCGAGTACAGCAGGAGGCTTCGACAGCGCTACCTCCAGCTCCATCCTGCGCCCGCGTGGGCCAAGGAGGCCGAGGGGCGCCCTACGAAGCGAAGGCGGCGCTCATCTGCCTCCTCCGGCTCTTCAGATGAGAGCGGCAGCGAGTCCGACGGCGGTGATGCGTCTGCGCAGCCGCTGGAGGACTTTTTGCGGGACGTCAAGAGCCTGTCTGGCGCAGGCGGACCCAAGAAGCGACGGCTCAGGCCAGAGATTATCGACATCCAGAGAACGCGCGAAATCTCCGACACACACCTTGCGCCTGTGGAATGTCTTTCCTTCCACCCCGAGTACCCCGTTCTGCTGTCGGCGAGCACCGCCTCGGTGCTATACCTCCACCACATTGCGCCCGACGCCCACCCGGTGCCGAACCCCCGGTTGACGTCCGTACAGGTCAAGGGCGTGGACATTCGAAGAGCAGAGTTCCTGTACCCCGGCGGCGACAAGGTCTTCATCGGCGGGCGGAGGAAGTTCTTCCACCACTGGGACCTCAAGACGGGCGTCGTGCAGAAGACGTCGCAGATTCTGGGCCACGGGCTGGAGCACAAGACGATGGAGCGCTTCAAGCTGAGCCCCTGCGGCAGGTACATGGCCATCACGGCGTCGACGCGCAAGGGCGGCGGCATCATCAACATCCTCAGCGTGGGCTCCCTGCAGTGGATCGCCGCGGCCCGGCTGTCGAGCAGGAACGGCATCGCCGACTTTGCGTGGTGGAGCACCGGCAACGGCATGACGATCCTGGGCAAGGACGGCCAGGTCGGCGAGTACAGCGTCGAGACGAGGAGCTTCGTGGGCCTGTGGCGCGACGACGGCTGCATCGGCGGCATCGTCATTGCTCTCGGCGGCCACCAGGGGCCCGAGCTGATTGGCGACGACCGCTGGGTGGCCATTGGCTCCAACTCGGGCATCACCAACATCTACGACCGCAGCGAGCTCCTTGCCCTGGACGCCGAAAAGAACATTGTCATCAAGGAGGCGCCGAAGCCCACGCGCGTGTTTGAGCAGCTCGTCACGCCCGTCACCGTCCTGACGTTTTCTCCCGACGGCCAGCTCCTCGCTTTCGGCAGCAGGTCATCAAAGGACGCCCTCAGGCTGGCTCACCTGCCGAGCTGCACCGTCTACAGGAACTGGCCGACGGCGCAGACGCCGCTGGGGAGAATAACGGCGGTGGCGTTTGGCAAGGATAGCAGTTTGTTGGCGGTGGGTAATGATACGGGCAAGATTCGGCTGTGGGAGATTAGGAACTAGATGGATGGGGGGAGCTTTCTTATTGTGAATAGAGGGATTTCCGAGCGGACTGCTTTGTTGAATTTCAATTGATGCCTTGAATCGTATTCTTTCTGACCGATATCGAATCTCCCGTTCCCAGCTCATCTATGTTTCTCCCGAGTTCGGCTGAACCAGACCTATCCAGTGACTTGATTTTTCCCATGGCCATTGAGTTTTTTTTGTTTGCCGCGTATTTCCTTTCCCTTTGAATTCCCAGTAAACGCCAATTACCCATCAGCATAGTAGAAACAACCCGAGATTCTCTAAACGAGCTCCGCATCACCATCCTCAACCAGCCCCTTCGCGCTCGACCACCTCATGATCAACACATCCCCATTCGCCGCCGGCAGAATCGTGTCGACATCAGTGCCCTTGCCATAGACGTCCTTATCACGAAGAAGCCGCACAAAGACGGCCGTGTCCAGATCCGGGCTGTCAATCATGCTGACGTTGCCAGCGGTGTCGTTGAGGTTCTGCAGGCGCTGGGGGAAGGACGAGAGGAAGGACGAAAGGTAGTGGTTGTGCAGGAGAGCTTGGTGCCTCGTGGCGTAGGCCAGTTCCGTGGGGGAGAGGCGCTGTCTGAGGGATTCCGTTGAGAGGTAGTGGAGGGTGTGCTTGTCGATCTTGAGAAAGGGGGGGAGGGGGAGATGAAGATTAGCTTGTGAGACTTCGTAGTCGTATGTGTATGCAAGGAGCTAGGTAGTTATGTGTGGTTGCTTTGATTGGAGATTTTGAGGTGTTGAATTTTGACTTGACTTTACCTTTGCTATTCTTGTTCTCAGATAGCTCCGTACGAGGAACTTGTAGCGCTCGAGCTCCGTCTGGATGACGATGAGGGCAAAGTTGGTCTTGGGGTCCATGTCGCCCGTCATGTCCTCGATGCGCTCAATCTGAGATTTGATCTTGGAGTTGACTCGCTCAAACAAGCCATCCGCAGGCCAGCTATGACAAAACACAATCAGTCACAGTTATCAATTTAAGAACAAAAAAAAAAAAAAAACATGTAATCTCCGGTGAAGAAATCAGTGCTATGAATGCCCAATATCAGATGAAAGGGAAGAAAAAACTCACTTGAGCAGCTCAGGCGCCGACCTCTCAGCGACCCAAAGGCGCGTCAGGGCCTGCAGGTCCCGCGTCTCCAGCGGGATGCCGTGAGACGCGGGATCGACCTCTCGGAGGATGTCGTCAATGTCCATGGCACGATCGGGTCATGAGTGCCGAGATGTCGTCGACATTTGTGCTCCCAACCCAGAGGAGATTCAGGTCTTGAGGGCAAAGTACTACCTTAGTAAAGCAGGGCAGTTCGAGATTGAATGAGGACGGGGTTTTTCCCGTGGTGGGGTGTCGCCGTTAGGTACTTGTTCAGCGTTGGGCCAATGTGCCAAGCTGCAGGTACTGTGTACGATGATGCGCTGGCAGACGAGCTCGTTATTGGTGAGCGCCACGATTTAGCGGTCTTGCAGCGGTTTCTGTTACTGAGTTACAGGGGCACTTGATTGCCCGCAGTTCGAGTTGACGCAACGACAAGCCCGTCAGAACCTCACAAGCAACTTCCTGTCATCATTACAACGCCGGCACGTCAAGCACCGAAAGATATGAATGCCTTACAAAAGCCGTTCCATCCGAATCTAGGAGTGAAGTATAGCATGATGCATCACCAAGGAATGGGTTCAGCGGCATCAATGATACCTACTTGACCGGGGTTGGCGCATGTGTGTAAGAGAGGTTGCTAAATTCAGCCGAGGCACGTCTCCTCTTACACACAATGACATAAAGCAACATTGGGACACACTTCAGCCCAAGGCTCAATGCCCTTGAGTTCGGGAGCAATTGCTTAACAGCAGCAGCAGCAGCAGCAGCAGTCTTGATCCGTCATCATACATCATAGACATACTCTTGTTTCTTGTTCAATCGATACCTCATCTTCAGCAACAATGGCGGATCAAGACGGAGACGGCCCTCAGCCGTATGCCGCATACCTGCGGACCGTTGTCCAAAAGGGCCTCTTGGCCGGCGAGTTGCCTATCGTGACGACGAACCCAAGCTGGCTGGAAGAGCAAGCCAAGAAGAAGATGAACCGGGCGGGCTTTGAGTACATCCTTGGCGGAGCGGGAGAGTCGTCGACCATGGATGCGAATCGGCTCGCCTTCCGCCAGTGGAAGATTGTTCCTCGCGTGTTGAAGCCCACGACGCCTCGCGATCTGAGTGTCACCCTCTTTGGCCACAAGTATGGTATGTCAGAAGTGCCAACTCTCCTGTACCCTTGCCTCTTGGGGAACCTGAAGCTGACCAGGTACCAGACGTCCCGGTGTTGATGGCTCCTGTAGGCGTTAATTCGCTATTTCACAAAGACAAAGAGATTGGTGTTGCCCAAGCCTGTGCTGCGTTAAACGTCCCATTCACCATGAGCACAGTCGCTCAAACCACAATTGAAGACATTGCAGCCGCAGTCCCAGACTCGCCAAAATGGTTCCAGCTCTACTGGCCCAGCGACGAGGAAACCACCGCTTCTCTCCTGAAGAGGGCCAAGGACAATGGCTTCACAGCACTCGTCGTCACCCTAGACACGTGGACGCTCGCGTGGAGGCCGCACGACCTGGATTCTGCCAACCTCCCCTTCCTCCTCGGCGAAGGCTGCGCAAACGGCTTTGCAGATCCTGTAGTTAGGCGCAAGTTTGCAGAGATGAGCGACGGCGGCACTCCCGAGGATAATATCGTGCAGGCCTCGGTCTACTGGATCGGAGAGGCTTTCCCCGGAAGCTCTCACTCTTGGGGAGACATCAAGATTTTGAAAAAGTACTGGGACGGGCCCATCATTCTCAAGGGGATCCTCAGCGTCGAAGATGCCGAGCTGGCTGCTGAGCATGGCGTCGACGGAATCATCGTCAGCAACCACGGCGGCCGCCAACTCGACGGCGCTGTGGCGACTCTGGACGTGCTCCCGGAGATTGTCGACGCCGTCGGCTCCAGGGTGACTGTCATGATGGACTCTGGCATCCGTACTGGTGCCGACATCGTCAAGGCTCTTGCGCTGGGAGCGAAGGCGGTCCTTGTTGGGAGGCCGGTGGTTTATGGACTGGGCATCAACGGCAAGGAAGGGGCTGAGGCAGTGCTCGCTGGACTGCTGGCTGATTTGGATTTGACCATGGGCTTTGCTGGGGCGAAACGCGTTGCCGACTTGAAGAGGTCGCTGCTGCGGAGGGTCAAGTATCCTGGAGATGTCAGGTCGAATCTATGAGCATTGGAACTCCCTTCTAGACGACTCTGTGGTGGAGCTTTGTCCTGTAGAGTTCAAGTATACTCATGTCCCTTCATACTGGAGGCAATAAGAGAAAATGTACATTTTCTTGATCTTGGGCTCCTCTGTTCTCATCGTATATAGACGCTCTGTGGTGGATGTCATGGGAACCTCCCGGGGTCTTGTAGAACACACAGTGTCAAATACAGTGCGAATTACCGCTGGTAATCGTCTGCAAATGCGCATCGCAAGGCTGCAGCTTGCAACCAAAAGCTTCAAGCTAACCCGGTCATCGCGCTCCCAGCCTTCCCAACCGCGACAAGCCATTGTCCGAGGCAGCGTCGTCCTTTGAGCTCCTGGAAGTCGCATCAGACACTCGAGTTATTCGCGGCCATGGCGGATTCGACAGCAGACGACGCCAGTCGCTCGCAGAAGCGCAGCCATGCAGAGTATGCAGAGCAGGACGGTTCAGGTACGGGCACCTCCCTCGCGTCGCATCTTGGAACAAACCCTTGAGATACTGACAGACTTTGTTCGATATCAATAGACTCCTCGTCCGACGATGACATGGGGCCGCAGCTCCCCACCGAAGCCCCCAAGAAGAAGCGCCGCGTCCTGCCCTACGAAAAGCTCTACATCTCGGCGCTGCCCAAGTCTGTCCGCTACTCCAAGTCGCTGATGCACAAGGAGCAGGTGCTCTTCGCTACCTGGACGCCGCTGACCGATTTCCTCATTACGTCGTCTGCAGACGGCGTGGTCAAGTTCTGGAAGAAGATTGGCAAGGGCATCGAGTTCGTCAAGCAGTTCAAGGCGCACAACGGCACCATCACGTCCGTCTCGGTGAGCCGCGACGGGCGGAGCTTTGCGACGGCCGGCGACGACGAGACGATTAAAATCTTTGACGTCTTTACATTCGACCTGCTGTCCATGATTACGCTCAAGTATGTGCCCAAGTGCGTCTGCTGGGTTCACAAAAAGGGGGCTTCGTTTCCTGTGCTGGCTGTTTCAGAGGATGCCAAGCCATTGATACATATCTATGATGGCCGGGGTGAGCAGGAGGATGCCATGCACACGATCAAGGGCTTGCATCGGAGTCCGGTCCATCTCATGACGTTCAACGACGAGTACGACTGCGTCGTTTCAGCAGACGAGAATGGCATGATTGAATATTGGCAGCCCAGCGGCAACTACGAGAAGCCGAGCAACGTCTTTGAGTACAAGAGCTCGACAAACCTGTTCGACTTCAAGAAAGCCAAATCCGTACCTACGTGCCTGACGATATCGCCCAACGGCAAGAGTCTGGCCGCATTCTCACTGCCTGACCGAAAGATACGGATATTCGACTTTGCGACGGCCAAGCTTCACAGGACATACGATGAATCGCTGCAAGTGGCTGAGGATATGCAGCGGGTTGGCACAGCCGCGCAGAAGCTGGACCCCGTGGAGTTTGGCAGGCGGCTAGCTCAAGAGCGTGAGATTGAGTCACAGACCCTGAGGAACAAGTCCAATGTCATCTTCGATGAGTCGGGCAACTTTATCCTTTACGGTTCCATGGTGGGAATCAAAGTTCTCAACACATATACAAATCAGGTCGTCAAGGTGTACGGCAAGGATGAGAACCTTCGCGCCCTCAACTTGGCCATATACCAAGGGCAGCCCCAGAAGAAGGGCATAGTGTCAGTCGAGATGGGTGCCTCGAGCAATCCTCTGCTGCAGGAGTCAGAAGCTCGAGATCCCATTCTCGTTGCCACCGGCGTAGGCAAGGTGAGGTTCTACATGTTTACAAACGACGAGGAGATTTCCAAATCAACGCGAGACGTCCAAAACGAAAAGCCCACGGTGCTGGGAGGCAAGGACAAGGCGCAGGCGGCCAAGAAGGCGGAGACTGGAACCGCTGCCGTTCTACACACTACCTATGGCGATATCCATATCCGCCTCTTCCCCGACGCGGCGCCCAAGGCCGTGGAAAATTTCGTTACACATGCCAAGCGCGGCTACTACAACAACACGATATTCCATCGCGTGATTCGAAAGTTCATGATTCAGGGCGGTGACCCTCTGGGCGATGGCACGGGAGGCGAGAGTATCTGGGGCCGCGACTTTGAGGACGAGTTTAGCAGCTTGAAGCACGACAAGCCGTACACGGTGAGCATGGCGAATGCAGGTCCCAATACGAACGCCAGCCAGTTTTTCATAACCACGGAGAAGACGGTGAGTTACTCTTGACTCGACGCGAAAGATGCAAAGACATTGACTGATTGTGTGTCGTTATTTTAGCCTTGGCTGGATGGGAAGCATACCATTTTTGGGCGAGCGACGCAGGGCTTGGACGTGATTCACAAGATTGAAAACACGAGGACGCACAAGGAGAAGCCGGAGGAGGATATCAAGATTCTCAACATTGATGTCATGTAATGATGGGTTAGCAATGGTTGAGTGAGCGAGTTACTTTGTCCTTGGATGACATGGACACCAAGATCATCAGGCATGGGATTACATGTAGGTAGGATATCGAGGCAAAGTGTGCGTCTATAGGAGGATACCATATCTACCCCTTGATGACTTTAGGGTTGAACAACATACTGCAACATAATACTACTACTACGTCCCATCGCAACAGACAATTCGCATCTCGTCAATATTATTACTCAGGCTGGACCTGGTGGTGCGTGAGATGTGCCACCCTCTGCCACCCCTGTCTCCCAGTTGCCCCAGAAGCCAATCACACGGTTCCAATTCTCCACGTCTGTGACGGCGTTGCGCTCGCACCACCGACGTCGGCCCTTTGGATGCAACAAAAGTGAGTAATAATTGGAGAGCCGGGCTGTACGAGTATGTATGAACTACCTCTAGTGGGCAAAGTCGTAAGCGGGAAGCATTACAATGGGAATGTTCCCCATTGGCTTGCGAGCTGTGTGGCATGATATTATGTCTGTACCTCTAGGTGAGGGTAAATAGCACGGAGGAGCGTCGGAGCTGTTTGTTAGTGCATGCATGTGGGATCGATGGGTAGGTGGTATGCACATGTGTTGGTTTTAACAAGAACTGAGGCTCGGTTGATTTTTGCACTTTTTCACTTACACAGTCGTTCTTTTGTCGAATAACCTCTGGCAATAAAAGAAGAGAAGAGGCAGATTGCAAAAGAGAAGCATCTTGTATTCTCTCTTATATCCCTTTCCAAATCCAGCCAAGTCTTGCCAACGGGCTCCTATTGACGTCACCCGAGTTGAGCCCTCCAACACCTTTTTTTTTCTGCTTTCAACATCCAATTCGAATTCTGTGAAGCACATTATTTTTTCCTTTTTTTTTCCCCCTCTATACCCTCCTCTCTTGGTGTCTCTCTTCAGCTTGAGACTGAAGAACCTCCCTCATCATGTCTACCGTAAGTCCACCCTGTGTTCAGTTCATCTTGATCATCGCCAGCTACCTATTGAGCTTCGCGAGTGGAGTGACTCACCAGATTGCCCCTCCAGTTCTACATCGAGAACAAGAATGTCGGCAACCAGGCCGAATCAGAAGATTGGCGCAGTAAGTCCTTCTCACTCTTCTCAAATCCTATATCTGCAAAGAAGAATACCGTAATCTCCTTCATACTGACATGTCGGCCACAACCAGTCCGCGGCTACAACCCTCTGACGCCTCCCGACCTGCTCCAGCACGAGATCCCCCAGACGACCGAGTCCAAAAAGACCGTCATCGACGGCCGCAACGAGGCCGTGGCCATTGTCAATGGCAAGGACCCCAAGCACCGCCTGCTCATCGTCGTAGGCCCCTGCTCGATCCACGACCCCGAGGCCGCCCTCGCCTACTGCGACCTGCTCCTCCAGGCCAAGGAGAAGCACAAGGACGAGCTGCTCATTGTCATGCGGTCGTACCTCGAGAAGCCGCGCACGACGGTCGGCTGGAAGGGCCTCATCAACGACCCGGACATTGACGGCAGCTTCAAGATCAACAAGGGCCTGCGGCTGTCGCGCCAGCTCTTTGTCGACCTGACGAGCAAGGGCATGCCCATTGCGAGCGAGATGCTGGATACCATCTCTCCCCAGTTCTTGGCTGATCTGCTGAGCGTCGGCGCCATTGGCGCGCGCACGACCGAGAGCCAGCTGCACCGCGAGCTGGCCAGTGGGTTGAGTTTCCCCGTTGGCTTCAAGAACGGCACCGATGGTTCACTTGGCGTTGCGATCGATGCCATGGGCGCCGTCAGGCACCCTCACCACTTCCTCTCCGTTACCAAGCCTGGTGTTGTGGCCATTGTGGGAACAACGGGTAACGAGGACTGCTTCGTCATCCTGCGCGGTGGCACAAAGGGCACAAACTACGATCCCGAGAGCATCGCCGAGGCCAAGGCTGCGCTGGACAAGAAGGGGGCTCCCCCGAGGTTGATGATTGACTGCAGCCACGGCAACTCACTAAAGAACCACAAGAACCAGCCCAAGGTCGCCAGTGTCGTCGCCGAGCAGGTTGCCAAGGGCGAGACTGCCATCATGGGCCTCATGATTGAGAGCAACATTAATGAAGGTGAGCAACGTCTGATGATGACATCGCTCTGGGAAGCTTCTGCTAACGAAGGGATGATGATGATAGGCAACCAGAAGGTGCCGGAGGAGGGCAAGTCCGGGCTCAAGTACGGCGTCAGCATCACAGACGCCTGCATCAACTGGGCAGATACCGAGGCGGTGCTCGACAACCTGGCGGAAGCTGTCAAACAGAGAAGAAAGGTTTTGGGAATCAACTGAGTTGGCTGAAGGAGCACGCACTCTTTTCAGCCTTTTGCATACGTACATACCCCCCTTTGTCCTTCCAGGGACACGCAGCTGGTCGTCGGGCTTGTTGACTGCTTTGTCGCTGTGGTGCCAGCGTGTGCGAGTTTCTGCTGGTTTTCTGCGAATCGGATATACTAAAACTGCTGCTGATTTTTTTCCTCTATTTGCTGCCCTGGTTGAGCATCAGGCGCTGGTTGCGCTGAACGCGCCTCTGGCTGTACATAAAAGACTACCAAAAAGTTTGTGGCGCTGGTTGATTAATAGCATCGCCAGGCGGAAGTGTGTCTGATTTGACATATTGCCATTTGGATATGGCGTGTATAACGGGTTCCCAGTGAACACTCTCAAGGTGAACATTCTCAAGGTAAATGTCGAACCTTGTGTAGAAAGTGAAAAAGGATCAGCATTGCAAAGTGTCGTATTACGTGAATACCTACCAAGTGAAGCCATCGCCATGACGCCCGTTGCTGTCCGGCTCACACTGTGCAACGTTTGTCGCAGCCAAAAAAAGGACCGCTTACTTGATCCAGCCAAGCATCAATCAATCAGCAAGGCTGCTCTCTAGCAGCATCCCAGCACCAGCAGAAGCGAAGCGCAGCCCAGCCAATTTTCCAGGCGACGGACGGCAGGCACGAAGCTGGCGACTCTCGCTCATTCTTTTTCTCTTCCCAGCACCGTCGGCATCTGTCATCAATTGATCCCTCGCCAATCGCGGGGGCATCGCGCGCTCCTTTTTTGCTTCCTTTCCTTCGTCTTCCTTTTTTTCCCTTAACGACTTCTTATTCCCTTCATCTGATTCACCTCTGAGCTCACCTTGCTGCCGCCTCAATCACCCTCTTCGGCTCGGTTCTTGCTCTCTCTCTCTCTCCTCGACGCGACTTGCATCATCACCACCACCGTCATCCTCATCCTCGCCTCCCAAGCGCAGCGAGCGACGCGCGCGCGCCCACTCCTAAAACCATGGCGCCCACCTACTCGCCGCCAGACTCGCCGCTATCGTCCGCAATGGACTCGTCAGAACCATACGAGGAAGACGCCCACGACCACGACCACGACGACGAGACGGCGCTGCGGCCGTCCAAGCGCCAAAAGGTCGAGGCCGGCTCGACCACGTCGTCGGCCGTCGTCCCCGACGCCGAGCACGAGCCCGTCCCGGAGCCCGATCCGCTCGAGGGCATGTCGGACGTGTCGTCGGACACGTCGGGCGACATCCCCAGCTCGCCCGTCAACGCCCGGCTCGAGGAGGAGGACTTCCAGGACCAGGTCACCGTCTGCGACTGGGACGGCTGCCCGGCCGGCGACCAGGGCAACATGGACAAGCTGGTCGAGCACATCCACAACTCGCATATAGAGAACCGACAGAAGAAGTACACGTGCGAGTGGCGGAGCTGCAACCGCAAGGGCCTGCCTCATGCCAGCGGCTATGCTCTCAAGGCTCACATGCGGAGCCATACCAGAGAGAAGCCTTTTTACTGCTACCTGCCTGGTACGTTTGGGATGAAGCATCTTGGAATGTTATTCGATACGCGGTATTGTTTTTTTGCTGTGCTAACACTTGCCCTTGCCCAACCCAATAGAATGCGACCGCTCCTTCACGAGGTCAGATGCTCTTGCTAAGCACATGCGAACCGTCCACGAGACAGAAGCGCTGCGGCCGTCGGACCCCGTGCCGAAATCCATGCAGTCAGGGCCAACTGGCCGGACGGGAAAGCTCAAAATCATCATCAAGACGCCTCAATCGCAGTCTGCGCAAGACGACGGAGATGATGCCAACGGTGACGTCCCTCCGTCAGAGTGCTTCACGGTACTGCCCCCCGACCTCTTTACCGAAGAGGAGCTGCAGATTCCTCTCCCCAAGCTGTGGCGTAAGTGCCACTGGGAGGCGACATGGGCCGAGGAGGTTGGAGAGGCGCTGAGGAACGAGTGCAAGCAGTGGGAGGACCTCTACTACAAGGAGTGGCTCGACAAGGAGGTGCTGCTGTCGCAGGTTATCCAGAGCGAGGTCGATTGGCACGAGCGGCGCCAGGCGATCATCTCGGGCGCCGCCGATGTGCAGATCCCCAGCAGCACGGAAGAGAGAGAGGAAGAGGCTGCGAATGGCGGCGGCGGCGACAAGCCCATTGCGGCGGCGGCGGGGGGCGATGAGGATTGAAGTCTATGCAAGAGTGTCGTTTCTTCACTCTACATGATGACGGATATTTGGTGAATGGGGAGAGGCATCTAATGGGGAAGGGGCTGGGAGGCTTTTTGAAGCCCAAAACAAAAGGGACAGGCTTGGAAGAGCATGCGGCGGGGAGTTTTGGGAGTTCTCTGTCACCGCGAGACGCGCATAAGGAGGGCTGAATGTCCATGGCGGTCTTGTTTCTTTGCTTTCTCTCTCTCTTTTTTTTTTTTTTTCTTTTTTGCTTCTTCTTTTGATCTTTGCGTCTTACGGTCTACGGCGGCTCGAAGAAGAAGGTCAGAGCTTGTTCGTATGGGATGGACGCAAAAGAGGGGATGCTTTTTGCCATGGCTTGCTTTGAAGGATGTAAGATACGTGCACGAAATACAAAGACGGTTTCAAAGCTCAAACGCAGTTCAAATAGCATACCATTGGATGCGACTCACTTTGACATGTCATGTTTTTTCCCACAGTTGAAGGCGTAGCAACATGGGTCATGTCAAGCTCTATACCTACTACCTACCTAGGTACTGAAGGTAAGGAACCTACCTACCTACAGTAAGCAAATCCGCCCTCCCGCCGATTTCGCATCCCATCCCCCCACTAAATCATTCTAGTATCCCACCTGCACAACGACTTTCCCAGGTCACTGTATAATAACTTTTTCCGATTTGAAATCCTCGTCTTCTAATTTGCGCGCCGCATAGCAACTCTCTTTGTAAATCTTCCCAATAGGATTCTAACACACTTTTAAAGCCAGAAGCTACAAAAGGCTGCTTCATACTTCTTGGGATTTTCACCAGGCCTTTGGAGTGCTTCGTCTTTATAGGTAGCTGGCGCTGTGCTGTGGTGTTTGTAGTAAGCTTGTTCACACGTGCTTATCAATATCAGTGCGCCACGCCCGAACTTCCTTGCAAAACTCGCCACTTTCCACCATCAAATCGCCGCACTAGCGCATCGATATTACCACCCTCTTCATTCTCTTACAACTTCATACCTTTTAACTCGACAAATCACAAGCCGAAACAACCAAATTGAAGCAAACCAGGAAATTCCTCATATCCTGCCCGCCGTCACACATACACAAACGGCACCGCCGTTTCAAAAACCCGCACCATGAGTGCCATCCTCTCCGCCGACGACCTCAACGACTTCATCTCCCCCGGCGTCGCCTGCATCAAGCCCATCGAGACCCTCCCCGCTGACGCTCCCCCTGCGCCGCCATCATCCGCCAACGAAAACGAAGTCATCCTCGACGGCCAGCAGCAGCCCTCGACAGCCAGCGCCGCATCTCCCGCCCAGATCTCGCTCACAGACTGCCTCGCCTGCTCCGGCTGCGTCACCTCCGCCGAGGCCATCCTCGTCAGCCTGCAGAGCCACACCGAGGTCCTCTCGACGCTCGACGCGGCCCCCGCGCTGCGCGTAGTGGGACCCGATGCGGCCGGCAACTTCGCCGTCGAGGGCCTGGACAACGACGACGCCAAGCTGTTCGTTGCCAGCGTGAGCGCGCAGACGAGGGCGAACCTGGCGGCTGCGTGCGGTCGAGGCGTGTCCGAGAGCCAGGCGGGATATATGCTGGAGAACCTCCTGCGGGGTCCAGAGGGGCTCGCAAAGGCCGGCAAGTGGAACAATGCGTTCGAGTGGGTGGTGGACATCAATGTGGCCCGGGATGCGACTCTCGCGCTTGGTGCGGCCGAGGTTCTCTCCTCCCCGACCCCGGGGGTCGCGAAGCCCTCACAGCCCATCCTCGCATCGTCATGCCCCGGCTGGGTATGCTATGCAGAGAAGACGCATCCGTACGTGCTGCCGCACTTGTCCAAGGTCAAGTCGCCACAGGCGCTCATGGGCACCCTCCTCAAGACCACGCTGAGCAAGAAGCTGGGCGTCCCTCCCAGTCGGATATGGCACGTGGCCGTCATGCCTTGCTTTGACAAGAAGCTGGAGGCCAGTCGAGAGGAGCTCACAGACGAAGTATGGGCGCGCTCAGGCTTGCCGGGCAAGGGGATTCGAGACGTCGACTGCGTCATCACCAGCAAAGAAGTCCTGATGCTGGCAGAGTCAAGAGGACTAGACTTTTTCAACTTTTCAAAATCCGCATCATCCGTTCCGCCGTCAATACCCTTCCCAGATGAAAAGATGCACGGATTCTTGTTTCCAAACAAGGGCTCAAGAAATCCCCCGCGAGTAGCTGGTTCTTCTGGCGGGCTGTTACACCATATTCTCCAAACAAAGGCCGCCCAGACGCCAGGGTCAGAGATACAAGTCGTCCGCGGCCGCAATGTCGATGTTGTCGAGTACTTTGTCACAGTAAACGGCGAGCCTGTTTTCAAGGCCGCTCGGTACTATGGCTTCCGAAACATTCAAAACCTCGTCAGGCGTCTGAAGCCGGCTCGCCCGTCCCGCATGCCGGGCGGAAAGCCCTTTGGGAGCGCCCGCCGCCCGGCAGGCAAGGCACCCTCCCACGACTATAGCTTTGTTGAAGTCATGGCTTGCCCTGGAGGCTGCACGAATGGCGGTGGTCAGATCAAGGTCGACGATGCCGTGATCCTAGAGCGCAAAAACATATCGGGGAAGCCAGGCCCCCAAGAACAAAAAGACTGGTTGGCAGAAATCGATGAGGCGTACTTCTCAGGCGAAGATTCGCTGGTCGAACAAAACGCCGAGAAGGTGGTTGGAGGCATTTCCCACTCGTACATAGATGATACCCTGGCGTACTGGTCGGACATGACAGGTATAGGGCTAGATAGACTGGCTTTCACGAGCTTCCGTGAGGTGATTAGCGATGTTGGAAAGGATACAGCCACCGAGAGAGCCGCTCAGTTGGCTGGTAAAGCTGGCGGCGGGTGGTAGCCAGCTTTACACGGAAACAAATTCAAGAAGAATATTCTCTCAAGTCTCTCTGGTGCCACGCCGTGCAAAGCCGAATCCTCTTCTGCCAGTCCCGTCGGGTCCTCTGGGCGCTCGGATGGCTTGCTGTTCATCTCGGCCCTGCTGTCCCCGCATGGACGAGGAATCGCTGCCGCTTCCATCGCGGCCTCCTCGCCGGCTCGAGTCCGGCTTCTGGGAAGAGTTGGGATCGAAAAGCTCTCTCCTAGGGCCCGACTGGTTGGTTGTTCGTCGCGGCTCAAACTCCTGCCCACCGATTTCAGTGCTGCTGACATTGTTGCTGTTGTAGCCGCTGTTGTAGTTGCTGCTGTAGTTGCTGCTGTTATTGTTATTGCCGCCATGATACCCGCCACCACCACCACCACCGAAGTTCCCTCCTCGTCCCCTCCCCCTGCCGCGATACGCCCCCCTCCCCTCCGTCCTCGGCGGCGTCACGGTCCCTCCCGTGCCCCCCGGCGACGACCCCCTCGACGAGGGCGCCGATTCCCCAAAGATCTTGGCCCGCGCCTCGTCGTACCGCCGCTGCTTCTCCTCGCGGTCGCGCTTCTGCTTGGCGCGGATCTCCTCAGGCGTCATCTGCGCCTGCTGTCCCGACCGCAAGTCGTCCTCGTCGTCGCCATCGCCGCCGAGGGACGCGCCGCCCGCGGCAGAAGGGTTCCGCTTGGCGACGACGGGCTTGCGGCTGAGGACCTTTACCTGGGGCTTGAAGGATGCGGTCAGGGGGACGCCGCCGCTTGCTTCGACGTGGTACAGCGTTTCCGGGGAGTCGCTACATTTTTTGGTTTTGCGCAAGCGCTCGCAAGTTAGCAAACAGTAATTCCCCAAGGCAGCGTGTTTCCCGGGGGAACATAAGAAGAAGAAGGGGGCTGTGATAGAGGGGTCGTTTTTTTTTGGTGCATACGCTGATTCCCATAGCTTCCGGTTCGCTTCGGCGTGCTGCTGCAGGCGCTCTTGTCGGCTCATGCTGGGCTGCGGCGCGACTTGCGGCTCTTTTGCGTTGTTGCGCTCGGTGCGTTCGCGGTCGGCCTGGGTTTCCCAGTCGTCGTCCCAGGCGTTGGGGACGCCGCCTGACCTGCTCATCTTGAATAGAGGATGAAGCAAATGCTAATGCTGTTTATGTGTAATGGTATGACAAGAAGAGGCCTGGCGTTTCGAGGTTTCGTTGATGCTTGGAAAGCTGGAGGGAGACCGAGGCGATAACGACGATAGCGGCCTCGATCTTTGTCTTCCTTGAAGCACGCCGCGAGGAGGGTTATTCCGATCCCTTTCCGTTCTTCAGAGCCACTCTTAGTAGTCGTCTGCTTGGTGATTCAGTGCGCGTATGCAGCCCTGATGCCCTTTGCCAGAAGTGCTCGTGACTGCATTTTCGAGGGCAATTCGGTTCAGCGGGCGGCCGGCTGTGGCTTCAATGGAGACGAGAGGTCATTATTTCGGTGTGATTTTGTTGTGTGTGCATTTTAGCTCGGTGCTTTTGGTGATGGGCGGTACCTAGACAGTACCGAGGTCGCGGCTCGCTGTCAGCATAAATCATGCGGCAAGTACGCTGTCGAGAAAGTCTTTTCAGGTATTGGCTTGCGGACCGCTTCCTTCCAGCGGGGGTCGTCTTCCTTGGTGGGGCGGCTCTTTCGCGATTGATTCACTGGCATGTCGAACTTGATCGATCGATTGCCTTACAGGTATCTACACTCAAAGACACTTTGCAGGGTCCAACTACAGAAGATACTATCACGCTGCACCTTTATTATCAATCTCTAGACTTCAAAGGTATGCGACACGAAGCAGCCGTCTGCAACCAAAAGCAAGATCCCCTATCGTTGATCATCCAAACCTCATCAGCGCAACAGTTTCTCCATGGCTGAATCGTCGAGTCCCGCCGCAACATCCTCAAGGCCCAAACGGCCTCGCGAGGACGGCGAAGCCATCAAGAGCCGCCTCCTCGACCAGCAATTCCACATTGGTGAGTACATTCAAGTTTGTTACCCTATTATTACAAAGCCCGCACACACATCGTGCATTATCCCACAACGGAAAACATACAAAGATATCCATACTGACCTAGAGGGGTGGGAAAACGGCTTGTAATAAATAGGCCGCTACGCAGACCCCTTGGTTCCACGAAAGACGTCAGACCTTCAGTTCTGGCCAAGGGACGTGACGCCAGAGATGGAGAAGAAGTGGCTGGCCATTATCGAGGAGCATCGCTCGTAGGACGGGGAGTCGACTCTGACCGAGTTTGAGTGGGCGGTGGAGATTTGAATTGATGGCTCCCTACCGAGTTATGTTGTTTGATGGCCTTTATGCGTTTTGTTACTAGTACAGCATTTCGTTTCCACGGTGTTCCCGCAGTCCATTATTACGCAGCTACCTGCCTAGCCCTTTCGTACTTGTGGTGACAATAGGCAGCTTTCTTTTTAGTGATGAACTTTTCCACTTATTATCTGGTCCTTGACGTTATGATTTACCGTTTGGAATACATCAGTCCATCGTGCTTGTGACGTTTTGGGGAGCCTCAATCAGGTGTTGTGCCTCCCAGTCTGCTTCGTAAGCGGTGGCATGATGACAATATCACGAGAAGCGTCAGAACCATCTCGAAGATACGCCGCTTACCTCGCAGCAATGCATTTACCATGTAGGTAACAACATGTCAGATTCCTTCTGGAATATCTATCAGTTGATAGGCAAGCGTTCGGCATGCCCGTCACGTCACAACAACAGCCGCATAGGAACCATTGTACCATCTACAACTATTGTCATCCTGCCATCAACCCCTGAGTGCTAAAAGCGTCATTCCCACACAACCTCCAGATGGAAATAGTGGGTTCACAATTGCATCTTAAGGCTCGTCACACGTCACGCTAAGTTTAGCCCAAGCTTTTCATCACGTCGTCCAGCGTTGTGTCTTCAGTTCTTAGCACAAGGGAGGTGATGGTTATGATGTACCTACTCCAGCTCGGTGCCTAGAGGTACATAATATAGTAGCCCCTTGACGGATGAGATCGGCAACGGGTATTATACCGCCGGATCGCTCTCCCGTCAACGAGAGCCAAACAGCCTACTATTCTCACATCTCCAAAGCCATCAACCAGGAAGAGCAACAATCCCGAGGACTATCTATTACCTCACATGCACTTGTATACCAGTTCCCATTCCAGCATAGAACGGCCAGAAAGACTAGAAGGGCACTAGAAAATTCCGCCACACCGAACAAAACAACGAGGCCGTCGACAACACTATCCCTCGTCCAGGAAGAGGCGACACGCGAACTTGGCCCAGGGTATCTCCGGCGATGCTGGAACACGAACAGGATACGTCCCAGAAAACTCAAGTGCCACCCCTCCAGCCACACTTTGGGCAAAAATCTCTCCTGCTACTACTACTACCTATGTAGGTATGCTGCTGCCGGCCCGCGAAAAAAACAATGCAGAGAGTACATGTAAACTCATACGATACGATGCAGAAGCCACAGTGCGAGCCACATCATTCCTTCTCGGGTGCCTGTTAATACCGTTCTAGTATTTCATGCCGTGTCTGCTCGTTTGCTCGGCTGGCAACAGCATGCTACCACCTCCAAGCAGTAGTTGCAGCAATAGACCATGAAATATGGCCGTCTCGATGGCATCACCTCCAAGAGCCCATCGTTGTAGTCCTCCCAAGCTGCGGTCCCACGTCAGCTGATTTGCAGCGAGACGAGGCTGAGCCCGCAGCCTCTTCCAGCCCCCCTTGCCTGCTTGTAAGTGTCATAACCTGGCCCTCCTTGCTTCATCGGCACGGCGATTCCCCCTCATTTTTCTGGAGTATATGATGTCCTCGTGCAATCGTGCAATGCGGAATGGCGTGGCAAATGCAGGTTTCCCTTGCCTTCTTTCGCTCCTCTGTCTCTCTGTCTCTCTGTCTCTCTTGCCCCCTCCCTTGCCAGAGCCAGGCGCTGTCCGGACCAACCTACACAACTTGGCAGTGGCCGTTGGCAACTTTCTGCCTAGCCAGCACGCGAATCGTGAAAAGGGGAGCAAGGAGACACATAGGCAGTAGCTCCATTACCAATCCTGAATTCCAGACAACTCGATAGCTCCGGTGGCGAGGCCTTGTCCTAGATGAGGGGATTGAGGGGTTTGCCTTGATGTTTGTTGCCATACGCACTGTGTGTGAGCAAGATGGCATGTGTAGATGCGATTCCATTGAATCATGTCGAGATATTCACGTTTGTGTCTGCTTCTGGCCGTCTGCAAAACACACATAGATACCTTCCAATGTCAAGCCTCTTGTCTGCATCGACTCCAACAACAAGCCATGGGAGGCGTCTGTGAATAGGCAGCCGATAGCGTGCTTCAAGTCCATCGCCCCCGAGAGAATAGAAAGGCAGTATCATGCTGCACACCCATTCGCGGCTTTGGAGCTGGCAGGGTCCGACAGGGTCCGATAACCAGTAGTCGATCGGAGCAACTGGCTAGCTGACCGGCTGCGCTGTTTGGGGAGTGGTTGGTCGGGCGAGTCGAGCCGGCTGGTGTGAAACCCCAAGAGAAACCCCAAAAAGTGCCAGAGATGTGATACTTTGGAGCCACTGGCTCGTCTTACGAAGGAACGGGCGGCTAGTACAGTGTGCACAACGCCATGGATGGACAGCCGGGTGGATGGATGAAGCAAGTCGTGATGCTCCCTTGCTTCGATGGAACCAAGAAACGGCGATCAGGCTTTGATGCTACCACCCTTTGTCAATCACCCATCAATCCAGGCTCGTAGCAATTGATTTGAATACCATGACCAAGCCAGTGAGCAAAGATTGAGGCTGTTAGAGGCAGTGCTCCGTTTGGGTGTTGCCATGGCCGGGACTCTCGACTCGATGCGCAGCTGCCTTTGACTGGCTCTAGATCTCGGACACCATTACCAGATTGCCGGGACTACTGTTGCAGCATTCTCAGCAGCACGGCATCGTCCATTTTGTTTGACTCACACCGCCACCAAGAAACACCCAAGCTGCGTAGGTACATACATGTAGGTAGGTAGGTTAGTGGTAGGTAGGGATGCATGTACAAAGTCTCTCGTACCCAACACCTTCGGAATGAATCTCTCATCTTCTGATAGGTTCCTGTTCGAATGAGAGCAGAATGCTGATTGACAGTCTTGACGGTGTGCCTGAAATGGTGGTATGGAGTACTCGTAGGGGGTGGGAAGACGGTCAATATCTGCAGCCCCGCCTCACAGTATGTGCAAGAATACGCATGTTGACGAACGTGAAAGTGCACGGAGTGAGAAGAGGCCATCTCCACTCGGTGAAGACAACCGGTCCACGACCCGAAGTTGCAGCAGAGCGGCAAATCGGTCCTCACCAGCGCGAGAGACGCAGGGAAGCGGCCTGTGGCGTCGGGGTCGAGAAAAGGAAAAGAAATAGTCAACAACGGTTTATGACTGATCAGGGCATTATTGCGTCAAACCGCAGCAGCAGCAGCTCTTCCTCCTTGTCTTGTCTCGGGAGACGCGGTATTAACGCTCCAGAAGGTTGATGAGCGGCGATGCTTGATTCGCTGGCCGGGCCAAGATCTCGGAAACAGAGCCCCTGTCGCGTTTTAGCCACCGCCTGGCCGAGTCTATTCGCTTCCACGGCGTCCACGTCTATCAAACGTACTTGTACCGCAGATGCCAATACAGTACCTCGCTCTTTGGAACGCTGAAACCAAAGGGAGGGGCGAGCTGAGCGTTGCGTTTGGTGACTAGGACTCAATGCGTACCTGAGCCCCGAGGTCTCCATCAGATTCGACGTGTAACCGGTACCTGTGTCCCAAGGCTTGTGCTTGCCGTCGTACTCCGTGCCAATGATGCATCCCGGTCGCAAATACAGCGGAGCTGAGAGCTGCCGGGCTGTTGTGGTGCTAGTCTCAGCTGTGCTGGATCTCGTCATTCGCTGATCCAATGGTCTCCGGAACGTGTACGATCACCCGTGGTGCGATGTACAGGTACGGGTACACCGTTCACTCGACCCTGTCAACCTTTGGAGCTTCAGCCAGGTTCGAGTATTATGATCGCGCTCCATCAGCCGCCATCGCCAGCTCTTCCTGGCCACCACCACCTCGAGTCACTGTGCTCTGTGGTCCTTGCTTACCTAGGTACTGTACTTGTACAGCAAAGAGTACCTAGTATCGTATTCGCCGGTCCCTGGTTCAAGGCAGCCTCGTCCTGTCACTGGCCGGCTCGCCGCGTGGAAACCCGGCATGGGTGGATGACGGCGGCCAGGCTGTCAGTGGCTGAGACGTTTGTTGATGATGAGGTTGGCAGCGTCAATGGGCGGGGGGGTTGAGCCACGAAAACGCACATGGGCAGGGCAGGGCAGTCCACCCGCTGCCGTCGCCGCACTGGGCGCTAGGGGAGCTGGCAGAGCGCTAGCGG